AAATTTTTATACGTTACGCGTGGTTCTAAATTTCAACGCATTGCTTTACTGCAAAGACAATGTCCAAGAGTATCGTTGACCAAATGGAAGTGTAACAAGGACCTGCTGAACATCAGTTTGAGAGCTTGATCAGTTATCCGCAACGAAAATCAAATAAGCGAGCTCAGGAGACGTGCAACCAGAGTTCGTTAAGCCATACATCAGAGGCCTCCTGCCGATAAGAACTCGATCCATCGGGGCCAAGAGGACATAGCGGCTGAAAGCCTCTCTCTCTCTCTCTCTCTCACATACATACATACACACACACACACATAAACACATACGCGCACACGATCATCCAGCTCTCGTTTATTTTCGAGGGTAACGATCGGCTCGCGTGCAATCGGAGAAATTATTGGTGCGCGATAGCCCCGACTAATTTGCCTGCTTTCTCTCGCGGGTAATTGATGGAGTCGTATGGAGAAAAGGCGACCACCAAATTGCCTTGTTAATCGTTCAAACGCTATATGCACACGACGTCTAGATTTAAAATAAAAATTTTCTTTCGGGGGATGCTATTACGACTTCTGCCGTCGGGTGATTCATCGCCAGCGGGAAAAGGAATCCAAATTGAATCCGACACCAGTAATACTTTGGACTCTGCGGTGAGATACGGGTTGCACCGGTATAATGCCACGCCGATTACCCGTGGCTCGCTCATACACGCGCTGCTGATCTACGCGAGAGATTGCGATTTATCGCACGTGGTAAACGTTATATATCTCGTTTCTTCTTTCTTTTTTTTTCTTATTGCTACGGTGCAATTTGCGCCGGAACAAGAAGCTCGGCCTCGAGGGTACTGTTCAGTCACTTATTCTTTAAAGATTTGGCAAATAAAGGGCAGATTGCTCGATGGAAAAAAATGACGAAAAGAGTATTTTTCTTTGAGTAAGGTAATGAAATTTGAAGTTATTGTTAAAGATATGTCGACGTTATGTCGTAATAATGAAACATTTCAGCGATTGTATAATGCTCAAGTTAAAAAAAAATCTTTAATTTATATATATAATGTAGTATCAACGTATAATATCAGAAAAGAAAATCGAGCTAGTAAGTAAACTGATAAACAGGAAATTTCATCCGTCAAACAATAATCTTTAAGCTCGAAGTGCAAACAACATGCGAGTAAAGCAACATCTTCACTGTAAGCGAAACGTAGTAGGAGCGATAAACAGCGTGCTAGACAGAAACGCATCGTGTACTTCCTCATGCGAGCAGGATAGAGAAAGAGGGAAAGAGAGAAAGAGAAAATGTAGTAACACTTGGCGGTCGAGTTATCTGTTGTGCCTCCGCTGCTGGAACCACAATAATAGCCGCGAGCGAACGGAATATATAGGCCATGAGATAAGCTAGAAATCCTACAGTCTTATACGTTTACCCCCTGAGAATAAGGCAAAAATATTATTTTTTGCATTTTTTTTAAACAAATTGTTAAAACTTTGTCGACTGTCCACCGACAATGTGATATGGCACTACAAGGCGTAAATTTTAAACTCCAGAGTGAATAATGAATTTCTACAGAAGGGTGTTCTCCGGCATTTCTTTGGATTTATGAGGATTAAAGATACCCAGCGGAAATCTTTTATTTTTAAATTGATTTTCATTTCACTGTCTCGTCTTTCAGAGCTCGAGAAAGTTCATTAATTATTCGAAGTAATAAAAACTTTTTGACTTTAGTATGCAAAAGTTTCGTTGAGGATAGCCTGATAAAAAAAATTGCCGTAAAAGGGAAAAAATCAGTTTTCTAGCGATAAAAATTGGAGCCGCTCGCTCGCGCTGCAAAGTTACGTCAATCAAAAATTAATGGTAATAATGATCTCTCACAACGAAATCGGATATTTCCAGGGTAATAACATCATTACTCGAGCGTAACAAGAGCGTTATTAAAAAGAGCTTAGAAATCAGCAGCAGGGAGATAAAAAAGAAAGGCGAAGATATGGATACGAAAGCCTTGAAAACTAGTAGATGATAAAGCGAGAAAAGCTCTGATGAAAAATCAGCCCGAGTGTCCTAGATCCAAAAGCATTATGTGCGAAAAAAATGAGGAAAGAGAGAAAAAGAGGAAAAATGAGAAAGAATCAGAGTACTCCGCGGAAACACGTATTTCTCATTAAAACTCAATAATTAAATCGTTCCACGTCCGTGGAAAGCCAAGTTTACGATTAGAGTGCTGGACTCTTTCTCTCTCGGGACAATAGATTCAAGAAGAAAAGCAACAGAGACGTTGTATCGTGTAATATTTGAAATGAGATGCAAATTGGATGAGAATTTTTTATTACTAAAACAGATTTTTCGAGTTAAACGTTCGTTCTGTTTGTAACTCTCAACGTTGAAATGAAGAAAATGAAGCTTACAGTCTAGCGTCAAGCAAGGTATCTCTCGCATTGTATTTTCCACGCCGTCGCACAGAAAGAAGCAAAATAACCCCCCCCCCCCCCCCCCCCCACTCCCTACGCGCAGACGTCGCTCAATTCAACAGGTTAACTCCGGCAACGGGAAGTGAAAAAAGTCAACGTCAAGCCCAGCAACGCCAATAGAAGGCGTATGAAGTTCGCGCTCGTGAAGTGTAGTGCGCCGTCACAAGGCAGCAAAAAAAGAACGCGCAGCCTTTTAAGCTCCGTCAATCGGTAAAAAAGCAAGCGATACAGTAGTTTCCGAATAGAAAAAAGCTTTCTCGCGTCTTTTCTCAGCTACGCGTACATATACATATACATATACGAAGGGAGGGATGCGTATCCATAGAATACTCTCTGGGCTTCGAGTGATTATTAGGATGAGGTCGTGCAAATAATAATTGAGGATGGATCGACGAGTTGTCTTTTTTGGATAATGCGGAGTGTCATTCGCTTACCAACTTGGCAGGTCGTGAAAAATGATAATAACGCGCTATTTATGCTGATCCAGAAACAAATTAGCGATGAACTTTATTTGTTACGCGCAAATCGATAATCGCGCCGTGTTAAATAAACAATTTTGTCGGTGATTCCTTTTTTTTATTTGTTAATTTTTCGAAAACTGAGATGTACAACAGCAGAGGCATCACAGAGATATCGATTATTTGAGCCTGGCTCGTCTGCAAATTAATTCTTACAACGCCAAGCGCTAAATATACGAGTATATCGTCAAATATGCGTTAGAGCAAACCGTTATCGCAAGCTCGACACACCGGCTCGGCAGTCTTTACTACGAACGATAATACTATTTCCCCGAAAAATCAGCCTGCGAAATAAATCTGCGAGCTCGTGCGCGTTCATCCGCGTTGCATTTATAGCTTTTCTCTCGCCCCAGAGCGCGCACTGACGCGCGGACAGTTGGGACGGATAATGTGGACTCACGGGAGAGTCTCATCTTCTATATGTCACTATTCTGTCGAGAATTTCCACGCGCGTGAACGAGTAGTTCACGCGTGTGGAAATTCTCCTCCTCCACCCTTCCTCCCTCTTCTTTTTTCTTTCTTTTTCTTTCGCGTGAAATATTGGAAATTAGCTTGGGGATTTTGGGAGAAACTATTTTCGATACCGTAGCATACCACCTTATTAAAGCGAAAGTACGTGCTGGAATATTCAAACAAAGTGTAACTATTTCATATTTTTCTTCGATGCCAGATATAATTCGCGTTCGGTAGTCTGACGCGTTTGCGCGAGTGTTGATAACGTTGCAGGGTATAACTATTCCCACTCTCACTGTGTAAAAGTTTTTTCTCTTTGCATTACTTAGACTCGATACCGGAAACGAGCTCGAATTCTCAAGTTATTATACACCTTATTCGCACACTCAAGACGGATCTCTATATCTTCCTCTCTATTATAGACGCTTTTATGTGATATTCACGCATAGTGAATCAGCGAACGCCAAGGGGATTATTGGGCGCAGCTCTAGAATCAAAAAGTTTCTTTCGCACTTTTTTCTTCTTTGAGTTTTCTCATTAAATCCATCCTTCTCACTCCGACCTTTATAGACGTATACATCGGTACCTACTTTCGATACCAAGCGGCCTTACGCTTTGATGAGCTCTGACTTTGGGTTGCTAAGATGAATTTTAATTTTCTTTGCGAGGTTCAAAACAAAAAAGTCTTTGCCTCGAGAGGTAAATTATGATGATATTTGAAAATAAAATTGACCTAAATACGAAAATTACTCTGCATGAGAAGGCAATGCTTTTGTGAATGATGTTCAATGCTTTTACAAAATAAATCTATGACTATCAAGTACAGCAAATTGTACATTTGGTGCGATAACTACTTTATTGGTTCCTAATTAAAAGCACGTGCAAAAGTTCATGTTAATTTGCACTATTTACTTACGATACACGCATACCTCAGTAACGTTCGAACTTTAAATGCGGAGCCAGAAAAATAAAAACCTAGCTAGAAGACTTAAAAACAAAGCACTCAAAAAACAACAAGGTGAAAGAAGAAAAAAAACGAGCCAATAATCTGACAATACGTAAAGTCCGTTGATTTCAATGATTCCACGCAGAATCCCATAAGGATGTTCAATTGTATCATGCAGTAGGGGCAGAAAGAGGGGGTCCGCCCGTACCGTGCACTTCCTTACCACCAACTAAGCTCAACTTTTAGTTTTGATCACTTGCGATTTTTACTGGAAACGTCCGTCGAGGCTTCCAGGTTAATTTACTGAATTTAGTTCTTATTTTATACTTTTTTAATATAATTTCTCAATTTCTCGTCAATTTTCACTCCAAATGAGTTACTGTTTAACGACGCTCTTCATAAGAACCTGCGTATAAGAGGTGAACTTTGCGATAAATGAACTTACGATTACTCTAACTGCGATAAATTTGCCTTTAACTACAATATTTCCAAAAGTTGAGCAATTCTCTTAACTCTTGCTTAATCATTAAACATCCTTAGTTCGTAAAAGATCTACGCCTCAAGCTTAGCGCGTCTATATCTAATCGACATTGACTAAAAGAAGAAACGAACTTTGATGATTTGCAGACATGGCGGAGGGACAGCCGGGTTACAAGCTAATCTACTTCAACGCCCGAGGCAGAGCCGAGCATATCCGTTACGTGCTCGCTTTCGCCGGTGTCGACTACGTGGACGAGCGCATATCCAAGGAACGTTGGCCCGAGCTCAAAAAGTGTAAGTACACGCTTGTCCGGCTTTCGTCGCTGCGAAAGCTCGCGATGGGAATCGAATGGCGCCGATCGCGCGACTTGCGACTGGACCGACGACGATTTTGCTTCAGCGATGCCGTTCGGACAATTGCCGGTGCTCGAAGTAGACGGCCAGAGGATAGCCCAGAGCAACGCTATCGCGCGTTACTTGGCACGCAAACACGGCTTGGTCGGCGCCGACGAGTGGGAGGCCATGCAGTGTGACATGCTCGTCGACAGTCTGGGTGACCTCAGAACTGGTGAGTTTCAGCTTAACACGACGCTTAGTCTACGCCTGTTATCGCGAGCTAACTTCATGATTGCCAGTAAGACACCTCGGCACTTCTCATTCCTCTTCTGGCAATCAAGAAGGATTGCGCTCGACGTTTCGTTGCCTGAAACCCGATTGAAATCGCTTTCTTTTCTAATTTCAAAATCATCTTGTTCGTAAGAGGATTACTTTTAGGTAGGTTTTCATCGAGAAATCTACGCTTACTCGAGAAAATAAAATGGAAAATAAAAAATTATGTTATCGTCCGCTCACATTTGCATCTCACGAAAGAAAAGAAGAAGCACTTGAATATGATCAAAGCGGAGGGGAGGGAGGGAGCGTCTCTGCGATCTACTTCTCTGTCTCATTTTTTGTCATTTACCAAGTCTTTTGCCTCTTTCGCAGAGCTGTTGCAGTTCCAAAAGGAAGACGATCTGTTTAAGAAAGAAGAGAAAAAGGCAAAATTTGTGAAGGAGACGATACCGCTTTTCCTCAACAAGTTCGAAAAGACCATCGCCCAGAACAACGGCTTTGCTGTTGGCTCGACCGTAAGTTCATTCATTTTCTTTTATTGCTGATGAGTCGAGTTAATTAAGAATTTTAAGTGGCATTGTCAAGTGACAAAAACTTGATGAACGACACGTTATTTATGCCTGGCCACATATTGATTTGAACTACTTTAGACTACTCATGGGTTATTATTTATTTGATATTGCTACGTAAAATCATTAAGATAATATTCCTCACGTGAGATTTCTGATAGTTTCAAAATATTTCCAAGTAATTATATTTTTTATGATAATAACGCCTACAGAACCTGCTCGAAGAATGTATAATCATATATTAGTCACGCTTTATCTCTCGATTCGATATTCATCAAGTTTTCGCCATTAAAATAACATTGTTCTTTCGCAGACAACGTGGGCTGACTTTGTGTTCGCGGTAGCCTTGGAGAACTTCGAGCAAATGTTCGGTTCGGCAGCCCTCGAGCATTATCCTAATTTGCGTGGCTTGAAACAACGTGTCCACGCTATACCAGCGATTGCCGAATGGATTTCTCGACGACCGCACACGAACTCTTAAGTCTAGCTCTTCAATCTCATCTCTCAAACAACTGTCTTTTACCGCCCCAACAAAGAAAAAAGAAAAAAAAAAGCAACGCTAATTGTCAATACATATCCCGGAAAAGTATCAATATTTTGCCGTTTCCCATTTGTGACGACAGCCTAAATGTTCGTAACAGAGGCACGATCGAATAACTTGTGCATTTGTCTTGGTACGTTTGCCTGAGACTCGGGTCATCTTTTTTCTTTTTCTGACTCGTCGGTTGTGATTACTCTTTCGTTAGACAGATGCGATATGACTATAATGTCGCGTTATTACGTTCTTCGTCTTTTACTTTTTACGCTCAGCATGGAACGCAATAATGCGTAGACGATATATGAGAAAAGAGAGAGGAAGAAAAGTAAGTAGCACGCGAATACGCGTTGTACAACACAGTACAAAGTATTTTTCGGAGACAAGAGTCATGCTAAAACGATATTTTTATAAATATTGACAGGCATATATTTTTTAGTTTTCATTGACGCTCTTTATGATAACTTCGTTTCCTTTTTCGTTCGACGTGTATACGAAAAAAGAAAGATTTTCACTATTCATGTGATAAATGTTCATGAACGTAATGGAAATGATGGTAATTATGTTGTGATGTATTCTCAGAGATGTTAACTGCTGGAATGAATATATCAATTATTATGTGTAAACTGAAATAAAGCAGAAAAATAAAAAAAGAAACAGTGAGAGCCTAAAAGGCAATATCTGAATCTACCGAATAAGGATATAAACTTGCAGGCGAATTATAAAGAAAAAAATACAACGCAATTTGACGTGTGTAAATGTTATATGTATACGTTAAACAATTCAAAGTACTATTAATGTTGTCACTGAGAAAAAAATGTATATCTATATTAGAGAATTATACATTTAAACGCAACGCATTGAATGCTTTTGCAAATATGCTTTTTCGTTGGATTCTAGTCAATCATAATATGCATATTTGTTTAATTAAATCAAAGAAATATATAATAGGCATTGTAACATCGAGTTATTCGATGAAAGAATGTAATTAATTTGAACATTATTATAATAGTAAAAATAAAGTATGAGCTTTATTTTGATGCACATATGAATTTTTTATCACCTCTAGTGAAAAATGTTTAATAAAAAAATTGAATAATTATCTAAAAAGTTAGGAAGAAGAAACTTGAAGAAGATAAATAAGTACCAGAAAGACAACTTTACAATTAGAATTTACCGAGTATTTACAATAATTTTTTTGTTTTATCCACTACGACTAGTTCCTATATAAATTTGACAATTTTTTATCCCGTATAAAATCTAATATATTTTCATTCTTAACTCCTTTACGTTGCACATTTTTTAGTTCTTCCGTTTTATGTTCTTATTCATCGAGGGTACATTATTCGAAAATCTAAAAACTTATCTAATGACCAAGTTGAAAATATTAAAAAATCGTTTTTTTATTTCCATCGTCGTTGAACTTGTTCGTCTCTTTGAAACCCATTGCAGCTTTAACACCGCTCTAATATACGTAAAACTTGACATGCGTACTGGTTTAATGCCGTTCCTTTCCAAGAACATAGATTTCCGTCGATTCTCGTCAAACCAAACGTTTAGCAAATCCTTGAGTGCACTTTGAATGTTTTTCTAATTTACCGCCGGAGATCATTGTATCAGATATATGATACACTAGAAATTGTAATTTTACTGTCTAGAAATGCATATAGATATTAAATTTGATTTTCTCGATTGTTGAAGAGTAATTTATAAATCCCATCAAATACTTTTATAGCATTTATTCCAGCTTCCTGGAGAATACTACAGATACTTTTCAAACTTGTTTTATCTGTTCATTATTATATACCCAAAGAATATGTAAATAATTAAAACTTTTCGCAGGCGAGTAACCAGCATATGCGAAAACTGGTGCTAAGTAGGTTACCTTCAATCCATTTCCTTCAAAAACTTTGAAAAATTGACTTTTATTTCCACTTTCATCAAATCATAGTTCCACTTCTTATCTAAAGATTGGAAATTCGTGACAGTTCAATGCCATGTTTTTCCATAGTTTTTGAGTAGTTGGTCTTTTTTTTCGTTTTTCTTAAATAATACTTTCAACAATTATTTAAGAGCTTTCATATTTTTACGGCCTATACCTACTAAAATAACAGATATACTTGAAATAATTAATCCATTGTTTTGAAGTATTTTGATTGATTGTCTTGCTCATCAAATTAAAGATCGTACAAATTTCTGAAACCTTTGACAGCGTATAATCTTGTTTTTTGAAACATATTTGAAATATTAGCTCTAATTATGCCATTTGATTCCATAACTTGGAGCCAGTCTTTTTTCTGGTCTTTATCATCAAACCAAGTACTTATAAAGTACTTATAAGTATATATAAAGCTTTGAAAGCTTTAGGAGCACGAAATCGTGTTTTCCATAAACTAGTAGAAATACAAGTCATATTTATTCCATTGTCCTCCAAAGTTTGCAAATAATGAGATTTATTACCTTCTTGATCAAACCATAAATCAATAAAAGTTTTGGCCAATTAAAATCCAGCGTTATTTAAAATTGACAGTATCATGGGTAACTCCATTCTGTTTTCCTTTAATATGACTAAATATTACATAAGATTTTCTCATTCATCAAACAGTAAATCTAACAGTTCCTTAAGTATTCGCGAAAACTTAGTACACCCTTCATTCACAATACAAAAGAAATTAGATATCGTCAGTCTATTGTTTGCAACGGTTTCTAAGTAAGTTTTGTTTCCGACGTCATCAAACCAAAGATCGTGCATTTGTATGAAAGATTTTGTAACATGAATTCCATATCCGTGGAACAAACTAGTAATAACCTTTAGGTTAATACCATTTTCTTCAAAGTGTTTTAAGTATATCGATTTGTTTCCGTCTTCGACAACCTATAGATTGTACAATTCTTTGAATGCAGCTGCTACTCTTGATTTAGCTCGATGTAACAGTTGGCTTACAACGATCAATGTAAGTCAATGAAACTATACGCCGCATTCATCCTGTATTCAACAAAATTTTACGCACAATTTCTGAACTTATTTCATTTTTTTCAAAATTCTGCAAGTACAGGATTTTATTGCCATGCTTATAGAACTACAGGTTATACAAATTTAAAAAGCTTTGGATAGCTCGACTCTATGCAACAAATAGTATCTTCAATATATTAGTTAAATCGAATCCCGCTTTTTCCAGATACATCCCACGTGCGATTTTATTTCCATGTTCATCGAACCAAAAATTATGCAGAATCTGCTATAATTTTATAACTTTAAAGTAACATCCATAAAAAATACTGCCAACGACACTAGCTTTAATAGCGTATTTTTTCAGTCGGAAGACATTGCGTTTTATTTCCTTTCTTGTCAAACCACAGATTGTACAAACTTTTAAATGCACTTGCAGCGTAACAACTAGTACTTTGCAAAAGATTTGGTATACAAGTTAAATTTATCCTATTATTTTTCAACATTTTTGAAATAGTCAGTTTTTTATTACCTTCTTGGTTAAAGCATAAATTAATAGAGGCGTTTGGTATTGATACATGAGTAATATTTTATTGATTTATTTTTTTTTCTGTTCAATATCTACTTTCACGAAATTTAAAAGTAGAAACATCTAGAATGGCTTTTTTCAACAGGTTTTTATCTGTTATATTCAAATTAGCATTTGTGTAACTAACAAAAAAATTTATATTATATTTTTTTGATTCTTCAATAAACAAGTTCAAAAGTTTACTCAATGGAAACATTGAGGTATTCATATTTGATGATGGAGAAAGCTAAGAAAAATCGAAGTTTTTGTTCCTTGAAACAATGCATATTCACGACAACTTTCGTTTATCTAATTGAATTACATTTGTTATATCCTTTAGTAATATTATAATTTATAGAAGAAAACTTGTTATAAATAAACATGTTATAAATTAAATATGATAATATATTGAATTTATATAAAATCTTAAATGCAAGTTTATCTGGAGATGCTAAACTACGCTAACCTTTTTCTGACATTTTCATATAATTATACTTTATTTTTAATAGTGCTATTTAATTTTTTCCCAATAAGGCTCCAGAACGATTCTGAATTTTCACTTTCAAAATGATATGAATTCTAACACATGACTAAACTACTGCACAGCCATCCGTGCGCAAGCTAGTTCTATACGGATTATATAGGGGTTTATAAGAAGTACGTATTTTGAAAACAAAAATGAACAACACATATCAAAATACGTGCCTCTTATAAATCTCTACAGAACTAACCTACGCACGAATGCCCGGATGGCTGTCCAATAGCCTGGTCATGTTTTAGAATTCATGTAATTTCGGAATAGTTTTGTAAACATTCTGACTATAATCAATGTTAATTCGTTTTGTACGAACAAACCGGCGCACAATGCAGTGCGCAGCATCCAAGTGCGCATGATCAATACCACAATAAGGCCTTAAGGCGAGGTCAAACTATTGCGTCACTGAGTTAAAATGGTTACGTAAAATTGTATCTCACATCTAACTATTAATTAACCTGAACCATTACAAAATATTAATTTTTCAAGTAAAAAAATGTTTCATGTGAAAAAAAAAATTTTTTAAAAAAAACCTACTTAAATTTTTCCTAGCTTAGTATTAGTTCCTAGTCTTAGTTCCTAATTCCTAGCTTAATTTAAAAAATGATATGAGTTGCTCCTATCATCCAGCGCTGCGATTGGTTAATGTTGAAAAAGAGCTCGAAATTTTGAATTTTGGTATACTCAAAAATATTTATATTATATATCTAAGTATGCAATTTCTATTTCAGCAATAAATTTATTTTATGAATATTTAATATGGACAATAATCTGCAAGCATGAAAATATGCTTTTAATAAATCGTTTTGAGAACATAAGAGGTCATATTTTGAAATTAATTACAAATCGATAATCTTATAACCATCTGTGATACTGAAATTAATATTGCCGTCTTAAAATTTGGTTGAAAGAGAGAAATAGTGAACATAATCAAATCAAGAAAAATACATTTTTATCATTTTTTGTACGGTTAGTCTACTAACCGTACATTTGTACATTGTAAATTAAGAGATATGCGGCAAACAGAAACTATATTTATCTGATTATTCAACCAGTTAAAGTCGAAGAATGTTCACGAGTTTTTTCAACGAGAGAACAAAAACAAACACGACATGCAGTGTATTACTAATATAAGACTAGGATCGTAAACACTACCATTGAATATATAATGTTTAGTATTGTACAATATAATATAGCTTAGTACATTTTATCAATCGTATGTTTAATTAATCTTTTCGATAATTTTTCCAATACGTCTTGAAATAAGTAAAAGTTCATCAGTTTTTATGAAAAATGCGTGCAAATTATATTATTTTTATTCATTAATGAATCTGATGGATATAATGCGTTTCAAATAGCATGATATTTATTCAGGCCTATTAGAATCTTCAAGATAGCACGTATAAAGTTCAAATAATATAATAAATAATAGAAAAACATCAAACAAAGAACACGTAAAATGATACTAGTATTTTTAAACTCAGCCTGCCAGATGCAAAAAATTTTCAACTTTGAAAATTAAAACAAATTGATAGGATAACATTTTTTAAGAGCCTTTCTTCAGATTTACTTTCTTCTGTAAGAGCCCAACTAGAATTATATAAATAACTAGAATTTATCAATTATCTTAAAAATTATTATTAAATATATAACATTCCTATTGAATAATTATTGAAATAATTGTTTATTGAAAAATTTTTTAATTAATCATACGTTATATATTTCAATTTCACATGTTATTTCTATTTTTTTTATCTATAATGAATTTTATTCTTTGAATAACTTTTTAAAAAGTAAAATAGATTAAATTAGTAACCATATCATCAACTTTTTATTAAAACTTGCATGTTGTACTAGTGGTCTTTAATCATTTTATTTTTTTTTATTTACACAAAAATAAAACTTCGTTTTACAATCTCGGTATATTATTTATTTGCTAATAATCTTATAAATTGATTTTTTTTTATAAAATTTCATTTGATGTGGTATATTGAATTAGTATCTCATTTTATGCAAATGTTACTGATTCAATCGGAAGTTAAAACACCCTTCTGTGCACAAAAAATGTTTGTATAAATTATGCAATAAATGTAGTCATAAAGACTTAAAACTTCACACAGTTTTATCAACTAAATTGCCATAATAAGCTGTCACTGCAACAACTTGATCATTTAAAAAATTTTTCTCTACTTCAACTCTCGACTCCGAACCTGCAGCATGCAACAACTGTGAAGTATCAATATTTTTAGGCAAATAGTAAGCAACATTTCTGGAAATCTTCTGTGCAGTCTTTAGTAATTTTTCTCCTCCATAGGGTTCCATTATATCTTTCAAATCAAAGACATTTTTCTTGACATACTTTGGTCCACCCCAAGGAGGACTTAGAAAAACTACGTCTCCAATGAGGCTTTCAGCCAAGCAGATAAAGTTGCCTAAAATAAAATCTATTTTGTTATCTACACCATAAATTTTTGCATTATGACGTGCCATTTGTAGTTTTTGTAAATCAATATCAATGGACATCACTTGGTGACAGGAATTTGCAAATTGAATAGTATTTCCTCCTGCACCACAGAAGGCATCAATTACTATATCGCTTTTGCATTTTGCAGCAATGTGAATAGCTATTTTCTCAGGTGTGACTGAAAACCAACTTTCGTAGTCGAGTTTTATTCCATCATCAAATTTACTAAACAAACGATAACGTTTAACCCAATACTTTTTCAAATCTTTGTGAACTTCCATAGTTTCATACTCGGATTTATTATCATTAGAGGTAGTATTACTGCTATTTACATCTTGATTGGATACTAATGTATTGACTCTATTTGTTAAATTGTGATATAAAGTACCTTTCAGTTTTCTTCTAATTTCAGATACTGTATATTTTAAAAAATCTAATCTTCTTTTTCCAGATTTTTTAAAAGTCAGAGTAGTCTGCTTTGGAAAACTCTTACTTGTAAGCAAAATATTACTAAAAAAAATTTGATAATAATTCCATACAGCTTTCCAACAATCAAAATTTTGGTATATAGTCGGGCTATATAAGAAATTGTTATTGCATGGTAGTGGATGCAACGTTTCACTAGACTCATACTGTAAATGTTGTCTTCGATGAGTCAACAATTGGTAAAGATGACTTTGAAAATTATAGTATCTTTGTATATGTTTTGATTGAATTACTAAAAGAATCTTAAATTTATAGAGTTCAATATTACAATTAGTATCTTCTACATTACATATACAAAAGTTTCTGTTCATACTATCAATATTTGAATTGTTACTGCACTTTAGCATCAAAAACATATCAGTTATGCATGTTCCATAGAAATACCATAATGCATTGCATATAGCTATTAACAGTTTTTGTATTAATTGATATTTGAAGATTTCCTTACAAGCGAGATTACTGTTTGATTTCAAAAAACCCTGATAGTGCACTCTTTGTGAGGTTTGAATTGTTATTAAATTATATTGAAATACATTTTTTTCATAAAAATCTATTAACAGACAGTCTATAAAATATATTATCTTATACTTTAGCACTTCATATAAAGTTAACAATATCTTTGTATCAAAAATACTAGCCTCTGTTACTAAAAATATACTGTATTCACACAAGGATTGTTGAGTGCTTTGAATGGTTGTATAAATCAATTGTTTTGTTGATCGATATATATCTGTGAGTAGGCAATTTTTTGGAATTGCAATAAGTAATACTGTAATATCAACTTCAGGTAAGAAAATCTTTCTTTGTATAATATTTTTATTGTTAATTGTAGTGATACTCATAGTTAGAGTCTAAATATTTTTTTTTTAAATTACTAATTTTTCCCTTACTTTACTATACTAGTGTATCAATCGAGCAACACAAAATATTTCATTTCTGGAATAAGATTTGTTTTTTTAAAATGCTTCTATACTTCACTACTATATTTCTCTATACGTTCTTGTAATTATTCATTATCTAATTTTACAGAACTCTACAAAATTGTCAAATTGATCTAAAAAAAAAATATAATGTGTCATTTATTTCCTTAGATAAGTTATTTTAAAATATTTTCCGAAATGCAACTTACATTCGAAAAATAATATTTATAAAATGAGGTTAAATTCCAATAAAAAATGGTTGTTCAGGCAGTTCTGTAAAAATTATAACTAAAATTATAATTCAAGAAAAAAAAAGTATTCTCTAAAACAATACAAAAAGCACTAGGAATATATAATTTAGATTCACATATATTTTATCATGAATAATAATTTACAAAAACATACAACGCGTGTGTTTATGTCCTAGCAGACGACACACAGTGTGTATATATATATTGTATATATATATGCATATTACATATAGTACAGCAAGCCGGCGTTCTATAGCAGGACTGTGTGAACTTTCAAATAAGTATATTTTCAAATTGCTTTACAATTAATTAATTCTTTTTGTTAGCGTCAATTACCATATTTTTTAAATTAAATGTTTTAATAATGCACTATAAATAAATATTAAAAAATATAAATTATGAAATTTTTTATTTACAACTTATATAAAACTATTCCATACAATTATTCAATTATTCAATTTGTATTTTACATTATTTGTATTATTATATTTATTAAAATAGTCAAATTTCATAAAAAATATATTATTTTACATTCAATTGGAAATAACAACCATTCATATTTTTGCGAATTTTATAAATTCATATGAATTTTTATAAATTCATGTGAATTTATAAACATATCAGTTATTTTATAATGAAATACTTCTATTTGTATCAAATTGTCTTTACATAGTTAAGAATTTTTGACACTATTCAAACAGTTGATTATACTGTCTATATTTAATCCTTCTTTTTTTAATTTTTTGAATTGTTGTCTCTGGTGTCCATCTTTGTCAAACCATAAGTTGTGTAAGTACATGAATGCTTTAGCTGGATTGTAGCCAGCATTATTCATAACACTAGCTATTTTTGTTATTCTCAATCCATTTTTCTCAAATATTTTAAAAAATCGGGTTCGGTTTCCATCAGTATCAAACCATAATATACATAAATCCTTAAACATTTGGGCAGCTTTAGAATTACTTCTTATAAAAATTCTAGAAATATGAACTGGTTTGATGCCATTTTTTTCCAAAATTTTCAAGTACTCAGTTTTTTTGCCATTTTGATCAAACAAGACATCTAAAAACTCATTCAAGGCTTTTACAGAATTACCACTGGATCCTTGTAAAATTTGAGATAAATTAGAAAATTTTATTCCATTCTTCTGAAGAGCTTGAAAATATTTTGTTTTATTTCCTTCATTGTCAAACAAAATAAAATATACATCTTCGAAATTTTTCGCAGCATTACATCCAGATTCAGATAGTATAGTGGAGAAGTTATTAACATTTATACCATTTACTTCCATAACTTTTAAGTATTGTTTCTTCTTCCCACGTTCGTCAAACCATAAGTTAAATAAGTCTTTAAAAGCTTTTACAGCATTAGTGCCTGCTCTACCTAAGATCTTCGACACACTTATAAAATCTATCTCATTTTCTTCTAAAATTTGTAAATAATGTGTTTTATTACCATCCTTATCGTACAATAGTTCTAGCAAATCTTTGAAACTGTTCCATGAATTATAGCAAATGTTAGATAAGATTTTGAATAAAGTTAATAAATTGATTCCTTTTTTCTCCAAAACATCAATGTAAAATTTATCGTTTTCTAGTTTTCTAAACCATAAATTATACAATTCTCTAAAATGTTTTGCTGCATTGACTCCAGATTTATTAAATATAAGGCCTAAATTAGATGCTTCAATACCTTTTTCTTCTATCTTTTTTAAATATTGCATTTTGTTCCCTTCTTCATCAAACCATGCATCATGTAAATCTTTGAAAGTTTCTGCAGATTCCATTCCAGCTCCATTTAACATATCTAATATATTAGCTAAACTTATGCCATTTTGTTCAAAATTACTGAGATATTTAGTTTTATTCCCTTCTTTATCAAACCAAAGATTATACAATTTTTTAAATGTTTTTACAGCTTTTGAACCAGCTCCATGCAATATATGAGAAATAATAACAAGATTAACATTATTATTTTCTAGTACTTTGAAATGAAGAGATTTATTTCCTTCCTTATCAAATAGAAAGTTATATAAATCTATAAAACTTTTTACAGCACTAGCTCCTGCTTGACTTAAAATAGCACTAATAGTAACTAGATCTACTTTATTTTCTTCTAAAACTTTAAGGTACTGCGTTTTAGTTCCTTCGTGATTAAACCAGAGATCATGTAGATCATTGAAACTTTTGACAGCACGAGTACCTGATCCATTTAAAATTGCTGATAATTGTAGTAATGTCAATCCTCCTTTTTCAAAATTTTTTAGACGTTCAGTTTTATATCCATTTTCATTGAACCATAAGTGATATAAATTTTTACACGAACTGACAATATTAAATAAAGAATTTTTTAATATATTAGTCATAGTAGTAATATTTACGTCATTTTCTTCAAGTGTTTTCAAATATTGTGTTTTATTTCCACTTTCATCAAACCATAAATCATACAAATTCTTGAATGTATTTGCTGCATTGGAACCTGATGCATGCAATATAGATGTTAGATTAGACAAAGTTAATCCATTTTGTTCTAAACATTTTAAATATTGTGTTTTATTTCCTTCATCATCAAACCACAAGTTATATAAATCTTGAAATGATTTAGCACTATTAGCACCAGCTCCATGCAATATACTGCAAACATTCATGAGTTTTACACCATAATATTCCAAAGTTTTCAAAAATTTAGTTTTGTTATTTTTCATAAACCATAAATTATATAAATCCTTAAAAGCAATTGGAGCATAAGGTCCAGCTCCATGCAAAATATTTGCTATATTAGTCAACTTTATATCTTCTTTCTCGAAAGTTGTTAAATAGTAAGTTTTGTTACCATTTTCATCAAACCAAAGCCGATATAATTCTTCAAAAATAACAGGTGCATTTGATTTGGAACCTTTTAAAATTAATGTAATACTTGTTAAGCTAATTCCATTTTCATGAAGTTTTGTCAAATAGTGAGTTCTATTGTTTTTATAATCAAACCATAACAAAAAAAGTTTTTCAATAATTTGTGGAACATCTGATCCAACACCATTTAAGATGTTTGATAAATTTGATAACTTGATTCCATTTTCTTTGAAAATGTCAAAATAGTGTTTTCCTTTGCTGCTAGTTACAAAATTTAAAATATAATTGAATATAGGGCCATTTTCGGTCCCACATACACTTTTAGTAAATTTGATTTCTTCTTCAATACTTTTAGTCTTGATCATGACTTGACTTAACTTAGCATTTTTTACGTCATCTAAAAGTATCCTTAAAAGTTTTTCTGTAATAGGAACAATTTTATGAGACTCTAACCAACGTAGTATAACTTCATGTAACTCTTCATAATTATAAATGACTTCTGATGTACCTATATTACTTCTGATATCATTAATCATTTTTTCTGCATTAGATTGATTGCATGCAAATATGAGTTTGTGTAGAAATATTTCTTTTATTTCATTCTTTTGTTTGAAATTCTCTTCTTTCTTTGTTTTTTCAAATGATGGATACTGCAAAAGATTCAAAATTATTGCTGTATCTTCTTGAGCAAACTGATACAAACCATCAACATTTAGATAAGAACAATTTTTAAAAATTTTATATTTTTTCTTTTGAATATCAACTTTGTTAAATTTTATGGGATGAAAATCTTTTGCTCGAACTTTTTTTAACTGATTTTTCTCTGTTATATCTAGATTAGCATTAGTGAAAATTACACAATATTTTAAGCTGTCAATGTTTTCTGTGTCATCTATAAATAGAGCTAGTTGTTTATTTACTGAAAGGATTGAACTTTTATTTTTTGAAATTGGGAATAATTGAGTAAAATTAATCTTTTTATCAGTTGGATGAGTTTTTATATAAGATATTTTACCTTTGTAATCAATAGTTATCACATTAAAAGTATTTGACATTTTGTAACTCACAGATGATAGTTTCTGATGAAGAAACATATCATGTATAAGAGCTAATAACATATTAAACTCATACAAAATTTCAAAACCAATTTTACCTGGAGATGCTAAACTATATAGTACTTTTTCTTGCATTTCCATATAATCATATTTAGTATTGTTTTTTATTTCATTTTTAATTATGTAATTTAATTTTTCCCTATTGGGTTGATTAACTGCAAAAATCAATTTGTTCATAAACTTCTTCTTCATTTTCTTCTGAAATTTTTTAGATAATTGTTTCTCTTCTATCATTTTATGAGTGGCTAATGGAAGTTCTAAATATTTAAAAAATTTGTTTCTTGTCAGTTCATCTTCTGAGAGCTGATAAAAACTAACATGTACATCATCTGCACTTGTAAATAAGAAATCTTTCACAATTTCACTTTTATCTGTATTCACACGATCAAATTTAAAAGGATAGAAGTTTTTAACACGTGCTTGTTTCAATACATTTTCTTCTGTGAGGGCTAAATCTGCATTTGTATAGAGAACAATATTTTTGATGTCATTTTGTGAACTATCAGCCCTGTTGATATAATATTTGACAAAACTATTAAAATAGTTTTGTATAGCAAAACTTTGCTTTTTCTTCATAAATAATGCAGAGAAGCCAATATCATCTACATAATGATTGTCAATATATTCAATGTGAACATTAACGCTTTCATTATTATAATGAATAGAAACATTGTGAAATGATTCAATTTCATTATCTTCAAATGTGACTAGAACAGATGGATACTTATCCTTATGTATAACCTTCCTCACAGCACAAAGTATTGAAACATCTAATTGATACATAAATTTAATTAACTGATTTGAAGACTGTATTTTGTACTCATCAGTTTCAATATGATCTTTAGATGATTCTTTGTTGTGATCTTGTGTGTCTTTAGAATTTTCTAAACATAACTTTTTTAATTCTTCCTTTTCTATTACTGTCACAGAATGTTTACGTTTTTTGGACTTCATGTTAACTTTATCTATTCCATTAAAATGATCAACATAACCATTTAGTGATTTCATTTTTATACTGTTGTTAATCTATTAGATATCAAAACCATAAATACTAAAACTATATCAGTCGAAGTCAGTAAACAATCCAAAACCTGAAATACAATATTAGAATAATCAGAATATTACAATAATAAAATATCAGAATATTTATATTGATTTTGATATAATAGAATTTTTAGTACTGTATTTACAATAATATTACCACAGAAAAATAAATTTGTATTTTTCCAGCACATTGATTTTATAAAATAATGCACCTTTTCAAACTTTTAGTAATGTTATTTTAGAATTGATCCTTGTACAAATAAATTTGCAGAATAATATTTATTTATATAAACAAGTTGACAATTTCTTCCATGCACCTACATTATTAAATCATAGGTTTTCGTTACAAAATAATTTGTTTAGACGCCAATTATAGGTTAAGTCGCAGTCAACAATAATTTTTATTTTTTATTGCTACAACATACCTTTTTGTAACGAAATTGTCAAAACATTCATTCAGATTATTTTTATACATCATAAAGACAATATAATTAAAAAAATGAATGTTTTATAGTCAAGTTCTCTTTCAAAAACACACGTAAACAGAGTTACAACTGTAATCGAACTCGATTGACCCGATACTCATTGGTGGATATGAAACGGCTTATGCTATATTTTTCATATCAATAAACATTAACTTTCGATTTTAGTTAGTCTAAAGATTAATGCTTTATATAAAATTTAGTTTTTACACTACAAAACTTCACATTCACACCATATTCGACAGATTCGACTGTCACTAATAGTTTAATATTATTGGCATACTGTAAGATGGCATTAGCGTAGGGCAAGACCGGCAAACGAGCGTTGCCGCTTGCCCTTCGATGTCTTAAAAGATAGCATCCAAATTTAGCTTTTTTAACATAATCGATAAATTAATTTATGTCATCAGATAGTTCATCAAAAAAGCAACAATTTTTACCTCTATCATTTGTTGTTCGTCATATATCGAATCTGGGTGTTGGAACTGCTGGAGCCCAGCATCCACGATTTATTTTATTTTTTTAAAGGATTTTTCAAGGACTAACTAACAAATGGTAAGGAAAAAAATTGTTACTTTTTTGATGAACTATCTAATAACGTAATTAGCTTATCGATTATATCAAAAAGCTAAATTTGGGTGCTAGTTTTGGACCTGTATGGGAAACATTTGTCAACAAGCGTGAGAGAGACGGAATGATAGCGAGAAAAAGAGCGAGAGGCAAACACAGAAATTTGAAGTAGCTGGCAACAGTGGCAACTGGCAATCGTAATTCGCAAACCGCAATAAGGCAATTTTCAGATATCGCCAAAAGTGAGGTTATATGTACTGTTTCAACTGTTTTACGAATTTTTATTCGAATAATTAACCAAACTCTACTAGAATATCTATGTAGAAATATCTACATTCGTTATCCAATAATCTGGTGCACTTTTTTGCTCATTGTGCTACCTAAAAAGGAATGGCTGACTGAAGCAGATTGACTTTTCTTTTACACGTCGAGACACATCGACTATTCCAATTCTTATTTGCACGCTTGAGGAGTGAGAGAAAGGGAAAACAAAACAAAGCGCCTCATCTCGTTCAGGTATTCTAAGTGCAGATAAGAATTAACGATGTTAAACAGCGTTGAGTGTACATCGAGAGACTTAGAACACCGGGTACGGTGACTCAGGCGGACACTTTCGTCGTGGTATTGCCTCAAGGAGGAAAATAACGATCTGTCACGACATGATGAGTCCTCGTCTGTCTGCTTTTGCATTTTTCAAGTTTATCAATTTATTGCACGTTTAACACCCAAGATACCCGAGTATACACCTAATAATACGTGAGAGAAATGTTGGAAAACAATCAACGCAAAATGGAAAATGCTGATCGTTACAAATTCTGGTTACTTTGATGAATGTGTTCTCCATACAAAGTTTATATATTTTATCGCTTGTCGAAGAGTTGTGATAAAGAAGGATTTTTGTTATTATTTATTAGAACCATTGTTTTATGTAAATATTTTACAGCAGCTATCAAATAAGAATGGAGTCTATATCTCAGCAGCAAGATGATCATGAAACCAAAGAAAAAGCTGACAACATTCCTGATGATACAGGTATGAGAGTCACATTACAAAACAGTATGAATGTTATAGGGGTTACATATTTTCATTCATAGAAAATTTTCTTTATAGAAGACTTAAATGAAAAGATTAAGAGGTTAGAGGCATTAAATACTCAGCTGCGAGAAGAATTTGATGCTCAAAGAGCTAAAATGAAAGAACTGTTTTTGCAAAAAGAAGGTAACTTGATAATCAGAAACTTTTATTTATTTTAGTAATATTACTACCATTTTATTTGTTATGTAGAAGATGCAAAACAGAAAATTGAAGAAAATTCAAAACTTCAAGAAGATAAAGAGAAGTTACAGCATGAGTTGGATGATTGTAAGAGTCAGTTGGTAATAGTAAATATAAAAACACAGAATGAAGTTGATTTAGAAAAACGGAAAGCAGAGGATGAAATTGCATCTTTACAACAGATAATAAATTCAACTGTGCAAGAGTCCACAGCAGTTAGAAAAGAATGGGAAAGTAAAATTAGTAAATTAAAGGAAGAAAATAATAATCTGAAGTTACAGCTTATGCAAAGTACAATACCAGATGGACCTCAACTTTCTCTGTCAACGATGACAAAAACTCTAGCAAAAAAGGTTGCTTCGCAACTAGGAGCAGATTCATTATCTCTTGCTTCTGAAAATGATGAGATATCGTCAAAAAATAGAAGACATGTATATAGTTATTTTTTTAAATTTTGTTTTTTTAAGTTTCAAATTTAACCATTGAGCATAATATTAATAAACTTAAATTTTTTGTAGGCTGATGAGGATGCTGAATCACTACGTTCATTGGTTGTGCCATTAGAAGAAGAAATAAAAGCTTTGAAAGAAAAATTACGCACAACAGATGATGAGCTGCAAAAATTCAAAGAGAAAGAAGAACAAATATTGAATAAACAGCTAAAAGCAAGAGAAATGGGCACTGAAAGTGCATGTGATATGTGTTGTAATTATGAAGCTCAACTCCAAAGAATACAAATGGAAGTTAAAGATCTTAAAATACAATTGCAAGAATCTGAACAAATGCTATTGACACAAAATCAAGATTTAACTAAGGAAGTTGAATTTCGAAAAGGAATGGAGGAAAGGTGGAATGAAAAAAAAGAGGAGCATAAAGCTGAAGTAAGCAATCTCTCCTGTTCTGTAAAAGTAGCTAAGCAAACAATTGATGAATTAAAACAACAGTACACCCACACTAAAGAGAATGTAACAAAAGAGTTGTGCCGATTGACAAGGGAAAGAGAAGAAGTCCAAAGACATTTAGATGAGTAAGTTAAACTGCATATATTGGTTTTACTAATAATGATACTAGTTGAAAAAAAGCATAATTAAAAACTTTAATTACCTGCAGGCTTCAACAACAAAATGAATACCTGATGGGCAAATACAGTAAACATTCAGAACATTATCAGTATGAACATATAAATATGCCAAATAATGTTGAAGAACTACACATAGCTATCCTTAAAATTCGCGAAGAACTAATAGTAGCAACTATTGCAAAAGAAGAAACAGAAAGAAAAACAAAGTCTCTTGAATATGAGCTTGTGCTATTGAGAGATCAAATAGAGCAAGATCGTCTTGAAAGAGAAAAATTGGAAGCAGAACTTCAAAGTATGGTGGAAGCTGCTTCTAAAACTGACTTAGTTATAGCTGAGTTAAAACAACAAATAACAAATTTACAGCAAGAGTTGAACACTGGTGAAGAGACACAAAAAGATTTTGTACGTTTGACACAGTCATTACAGGTACAATAATTTATCCAATAAAAATTACTCAAATCTTTACTACTGTGAAGCTACTTATTATTTTAATTGTTTAAAATTTAGGTTCAATTACAAAAAATCAGAGATTCTGAGAAGGAAGTAAGATGGCAATTTGAAGATGATGTTGATGAATGTCCAACATGTCACGCTTCTTTTACTTTAGCTAAAAAGAAAGACAAAGTCAGTTGCAAATTGTTAACTATTTATGCTTTATTGTAAAAATTAATTAATTGTGCTTGTTTTCGTGCAGATGCATTGTCGACATTGTGGACAAATTTTTTGTCAGTCATGCCTAAACAATATTGTGAAAAGTGGACCAAAGCAAAGGCCATCAAGAGTTTGCAATGTTTGTCATACCCTATTGGTGCAAGAAACTGCTCCTTATTTCAGTCGAGATCCTCCTTAAAACAACGAATGATGTGATGAACTTAGTTAGTGAAAGAGTGCAATATGATTTAAAACCAAATTTTGTTTAATTCTGGAAAGTGTTTGTAGCTCAGTTTTTTAACTTTAAACATCACTTTCTTTATTATACATTTCTAACGTGGATATATCAATTCGATTAAATTGAGTAACCATTAGTTAGAAATTTTGTGTAAGGTATGGATGCGCCAAAATGTTATAAAAGTACGTGAAAAATAATATTGGACAATCCTATTTTAAATCAATTTATAAAAGTGTATGGAAATGATTGTCCATTAATTAGTTTTCATATATTTTTTAAATAATTACTGGAAATTTTATCAGCTTCATCGAATTGGTGCAATTTTCGGACAAAAAATGTATATTATCTTTAGGTATAGACATTTCAAATGACATATAAGTTGGTTCTTATTATCTGATATAGTCGAGTGATAAAAAAAAGTTAATGCCAGAAATAAGTTTATTGTAAATACGAGACTAATAATTAAAGTTTTGATGTCGTTTAAAAGTTAAAAACTTTCAAATGCATGTATACATTCAATATTTATTTACCTTAAAACTGTATAAAATGAAAAATAACTATTAACTGTTTTGTTATCCTCTGGATTGCTTTTCATGGATATACAGAATTAAATAAGAGTTAGTTAATCAAGAGAAACCCCTTTTACCAAGGGTCTTTTTGATTAAAATTATAAGGCACAAAATATTTCAAACATTCACTTATTATTTTGCTAGAAAAAATCCATGGCGAAAGAAGTTTCTCACGATTAACCAACTTTTATTTCATTCTAAAAATTTATCGTAAAGTAAATTGTAAGCATAATTCAAACGTAAAATATATTAAAGTGTAAAAATTATTAATGTTGGAACAGCCATAGATAAATTTGTATCTTCCCATGAAGAATGAATTTTCAGTATTTTATTTTTCTTTAATTAAAGAATAGTTATAAATAAAACATCTGTATTTTGCGAGATTTTTAAATATTTATTCAAATAGAAAGTCCAATTTCATTGTAAAACAAAAAATATTACTGATTTTTCTTAATTAGTAATATAAAATTGAAAATTGTCACCCTTATAAACTATCACTCATTTCTGGTCTTGTAAATTTCAATCGGGTGTTTGTTATTGGCATACAATGATTTTATCTTGCTGAGTATACAAGTCAAAAGAAGACAGAACATTTAAAAAATTCGTAAGTTATGAATAACAGTATAACTGTCTAACAAAAAATATAATTTTTAACAAAGTGGCTAAGTAAAAGATAAAAGTGTTACAAACAAATACGAGGTCACTCAATCACGATCGACTTGTACTTTCCAATTCGAGGGTACGCTTTATATCGACGGTTTGCTCGTGAGTATATGTACCAATGTAAACGAGTCGACTTATGCATTTTCAGTGATGTTCGTTTTCAATTATATCACATAGAAAAGAACGCAGTTATTACATTTTCTAAAGGCTCTGGACATTTCTTTTCAATTGGAGGCTCTTCCGATTCGGCATTTTTGTCCCTCAGTTCTTTCCAATTATTCAGTGCGTCCATGTAGTCTAAATATTTCTCGTGATCCTCAAGCTTTGTGTAAACATGTAACAAACCTCTATAATCGTACTCTAAACCACTGTAACTTTTTCCGAATAATTTGAGGCCTAAAAATAAAAAAAGTTAATATGTGATCATCATGTCAAAGTCTATGAATTTCATCATAAGAAGTTAAAAATTCTTACTTATAGCGATACTTCGATGATATAATTCTTCGGCGTCACGATATCGGTTCATGTGAAAATTGTAAAGTGAAGCTAAGTGTCCTATACTTAAACCAACTTCATAGTCGTCGGGGCCTAGTAACTCTTCTTTGATACCAATTGCCTTCAGATGCATCTCTTCTGCTTCCTATTAAAAATCATTTGTATTACTTGATATCAAGACAAATTCACAAGATATTATATTATTTTCGTTTTCGCACGATTGTTACAAACCTGATATCGTCTCATGCTTTGGTACAACCTTCCAAGGTTCCCATAGTGTTTGGCAGTTTGTACATTATTTTCACCAAAAGCATCCTTCGCCAGCAGTAGCGCAGATAAATGAAGAGTTTCCGATTTAAAAAATAAATTTTGGTCGCTACCATTAGCTGGTGCGCTATCCAAAGCTATTTCTTCTAAAATAAGAGCTTTCACTCTTTTGGCACTAGAAAGCATCAAATGCTTTTCAGGTAGTAACTTTTCCATTATATCAATAGCTCTGTTAATGTGGGTGCTATTTAAACCATATTCAAATCAATATTTATGTATTTCTATGATATTCATAGGAAATAAGAAATATTATTTAGATGAAAAATGTTACCTAGCTTGACTGAACTTCCCAGAGCTGTACTCTTGTACATACAAAGCATACGCTAGATCTTCGTGAGCTATAGCTACATGAAGATTATACTTATTAAATATAGCTTTTCTTATTTCATAGGCAAGCTAAAAAAAATGAACTGATTACGATTTGTTCCTAACCATCATTAATTCATTTAACAAAAATGAGTATTACCTTATAAACTGCTACACTGTTTACAATACTATCAGAATTCAAAAGATAAAATCCATAATCAAGAAGAACATCACTGTACTTAGGATGATCAATATCAAAAACTTCTCTAGCTAAATATACTGCCTGTTTCATTAACAATCCAGCTTTCTGATAATCTCTTTTAACTATACATGATTTGGCAGCTTGTCGTAAAACATTAACAATAATGTATCCTGGCAAAAATGGTTTTAGTTCTTTTAATGCATCCACACTCCACCTAGTAGAAATTATATTAAATGAAAATGTCGTTTTATCTTTTTATCTAATTAAATTAGTTGAAGATTAATTACTTGTATGCTAAGTCATACTCATTCCTAATGAAAAAAAGAACACTGAATTCTGCATAAAGAGCAGCATGATTTGCATTTTTACGTTCACTTTTTTCAAGTTTCTTTATTGTGTCTAATGCAAGCTTATATGTCGCAGCTGCTCCAATAAAAGAGTTATAGGCAGCTTGTGCATGCAGCAATCTATCATAAAAGAATAGTATTACTGGTATTCAAACTTTCAATCTCATTTATATTGTTTCCTAAGAAAGACATACTTGTGACAGCAGTCTAAAGTGTGACACCAAGTTTCACTATTTTGTGTGCTGGACAAGCAGAGGTTCCTACAAGATATTAAGACCTTTTCACTCTCTGGATACCACCCTGCATCACTGAGAAAACCTCCAAGACGTAGACCAAGATTGATGATCTTTTCATGTACAGCTGTATTTTCTTTGTGTGTGGTACACCAAGTTGTATAACTGGTGGCTAATTCATTTCCTACATTTGTTTCATGGTCCATCAAAGCCTATATTGAAATAGAAGGAAATGAATGATCCCTTATATATGTATTGATTAGTGACTGCTCTCAATTGTTATTCATTAAGACAATTTTATTTGTTGGGATTGATTAAAGTTACCTGAAAAGCTTTCAGTAAATGGATACGCCGGTTTGTCACTTTAAGCATACGAGAGAATGTATTGAGATCACTCAATTCCACTCCAAGAAGGCATAATTTTTTGTCTTTGTACAACTGGAATAGAAAGATGTGATTGATAAAAAGTACATGGTAGGAACTTTATTATTATTTTCAAAGTGGTTATGTATAGTGTTATCCCCCCTTGGCAAATAATCTAGAGAATAAGAAAGATGAATCATAGCATGATAATAAAAGAGTAATTCTTCAGAATGTCAGTATATATGCTCATTATATTCATTAACAGAAAGCTGTATGTGTATGTGAGTATATTTGGCTTTCAGCAAACAGCAATGTATATGTCACTGACAGAGGTATCTTAAGCTTTAAGTTCTATTCTTTAAATTCTGATTTCAGCCATATCTCTTAAATGAACTTTCCTTTGTATCAATATCAGTCATTTTTTTTTGCCAGATAAGCACAAAAACATATATTTTTCAATTTAAAAGGGAATTGTTATAAAATTAAAAGTCTATATATAATGATTTGATATTTGCAACTCTTTGGCATTATAGATCAAAGTACATCTGTCAACAAATGTAAATCTGCCAAGACGGTCTCATAACAGATAACTGTGAAATAATGAATGTTTAAAAACATACGATAGGTTACGTAAAGTCGTTGAAACGCAAAAACTAATGAAAAATCAGGAATGAAATGAACGAATGCATGATAGAACCATACAATCACGGTAAAACTCATTAGCAAAAAGGTATTTCACGAAAGAAGCCAATCAATTGGTAAATCTGAATGAACCATCTTGCAGAAAAGAAAGTTACATTATCCGTCTCACTCGCTCGTATGCGCGCGTGCATAAAAATGACAGCTCGATGTGCGTCGAGAGTCTGCTGAAAAATTCAGCCGATTAGCAGAAGATTTCTAAACACGTATAGTAAAATCATTCTCACACGGAAGAATGAAAAAATAACAATAAACTAACGGAAAAAATTGAATGAGTGAGCATACCGATTGAAGTTCCTCACCTGATGGTAAAGATCGAAAAGTACACTCTCGGGCAAGTATTTGAGGTACTTTTTGTAATTGAGGAACTGGTTAGCCACCGCAGGTATACTGAGCTCGTAGAGACTCCTGGTGCATTTAACTTCATCAGCCATGATCGTCGCTCTCTATCTTCTTTCTCGGAGGAAAGAAGAGTTGTACGCGCGAGTAGGAGGAAAGGGTTAGATATGTATAAAATGTTCACACTCTCATACCACTCTATTCGCGCAAGCTTTTCCTTTTTCTTTTCTGCACTGCGCGAAGCAATGCCGAGTCTCACTCTTTCTCTCTCTCTCTCTCTCTTTCTCTCTCGCACACACTCAGCTGTTGCACGTCAATTGTAACACCTCAACATGCTGATGTTTCTGCTGTTCACCACAACGAGTATAAACAATATGCACACGGTACATACGATTACAATTCGAATTGTCTAGCACAGTCTAGCAGCACTCGCTTTGAACTCCGACAGATTCCGAGGACGACGAACGAACAGGCCTGCGAACGAAACGAACGTGAACTACGATCATCCAATCTAACCAGAGCCAAAAGCTGCTGTTTCCATTCAGTTAAGCAGACAACCGCTGCACGACGCTAGTTGTTATAAAATTGCGCGGATCTTTGAACAACCAGCGCGAAATTCGCGAGATCTATGCCTGCAACACTGCAACGCCGGATGCATGTGAAAAATCGTTTTGATAATTCTTTTGTTGCTCTTTGAAAGAGCTGATTTTCATTTGACTATCTTCCGAAATTCTCTCGTTTGTTTCTACTGCAACTGTGCGTGCGGCTAATTTATGTTATCGACTATTATTTTTGGACATTTATTTTGGTTTCGTGGAATGCTTATATGATAGTCTATATTTAGATGTTTTTAGCGTTGCTGTCAAACATTCCACCTTTTTTTGCATTCGCTGCATTATACGGCTGGCTGTTGGTGAATTTCACTTACTATGATACCAATATTACAAGTGATAATTGCATGGTTTATAAAGAAATTATTACTTTTCATAAAGTAGCAGATGTTTTTAATTACATTTCAATGTTTATTACTACGGTCATTAAAACATTTTAAAAGTATTCAATATCTCAATTTTGTACCATTTATTTACAATCGTAATTTAGCAAATTTGGCGAACTTGAAGTTATCCAAATATCAGATCGATCGCAATATAATCTTTTACCGAGCTGTCAAACAAACTCACGGCTTCGCGTTTGTAGCCGTGGGGGCGAAAATGTGCTCTTAAGGCAGCTCAAACTATCGTTCGTTTACCAGAGGATGGAAAGTCAAGAGGAGGACGGTGATTCGAACGGTAAAGCAAATAAAACATTCAGCGATCTCTTTAAATCCAAATTGTAAAGTCTGCTTTCTCAGATCGTCAAGGTTATAGCTTTGTTGGTTTACAAATTTACGACGTTAGGGGCAATTAAATTAAAAAAAAAAAAAAAACTTGTCAAGCAACAAACAAATGTCATCTCTATTTCACAAGAAAATCAAGAGCCTGCGAACGCCGCGTATCTCGCAATAAACAAGAGCCATAGTCAGGAGCAGCAGTCGGTCACGTGTTGGTTGTACGTTTCACCCACGAACAACGGTCTCGAGCAAGCATCGGCAGCAGCTGCAGCAGCACCAGCAGTGGTCGACCATGGTCTACCACGAGCGAGCCTCGAGGAAGCGATTCGCGCTGTCGATCCATTAGCCGACTGGCATGTCTCGGAGACGCGATGCGGTTTGATCGCTGGTTTCGCTAGAGAAGCTGACGCTGATAAATTACTTCAGAGGGGAGATCTCGCAAGGATCTTTCAGTGTCCCGTGCAGGTTGGACTTGTGATGCTTCTTACGAATGCTGCGTTGCCACGCACATTTTTTCGTACTTTCCCATAGCTAGACTAGGAAAGTATGCAACGATAAAAGAGACCGCGCAAAGAGAGAAAAGACAGCGATTGGTCAGCTCGTGCGCCGACCGCAAGCCCAAACGAGTCACACGCTAGCAAAACAATCACTCCGACAATTACATAAATGCATGGGCGTGCATAGTTGTACTCGACGAACGACTCGAACTCAATTGGAATTTACACGCGCAGGTGGCACGTTTCTGCGAGCGAGACACGCGCTACCGCCAAGCAGTTCTATTGCGCGATGTGCCCTGGGCCATACCCTTGCAAGATCTCAATTCGGCGCTGGGGCGTCAAGGCATCGAGACAGGAAGCATCGAGAGACTGCGACACTACGTGCGCGTCGAGGTATTGATCGCGCGTTACAATGCTTGCAAACTATCCGCGAAGACAGCTTCCACACTGCTGACGTCCGTTGTGCGAGTGCACTCGGCCTGACCACTACGACGATGCGCTCGACAATTTTCTATTGTATTTAATGCGGGAGAGATGTTTATTATTAGCTAATTGCGGAGGGAAGTCGTTTTAGATAACGCAATTTCAAGGTTGAATGACTATTTCTTTATTTTTATTGTTGAATGTGACGAATGACTAGTACGTTTTTACTAGTTTTTCGATTGGGTAGCTCAGATACAAACAAATAAGAACGCATTCTTAAGTACAGTACGGTGAATTCGGTTAGACGAAAATCTCATCAACCATAGTATTGCGAATTGAATCTAAGATCCAATTTGATCAACTGATTTATCAATGTCGAAATTTAACAGGTCCTCGAACCAAATCAATACGAGCAACTCCTCCGTCAAGGCTTAGACTTCTTCGGTGCAGCACGCTTCACGGCAATTCCCGAGCGCTGGTGGCGTAACAACGGTAGTAGTGGGCCGATTTTGCAGAATCCCTTTGCTAGTAATGGGAATCAAGTGGTCGAAGGGAATTCAAGTCAACAACAGCAGCAGAACGACGATGTACTCCAGTGTTATCGGTGCCAGGGGTTCTGGCATGTCGCAGCTAATTGCCGTCACCTGCCGCGTTGCGTTCGATGCGGCGAACCGCATAGCGTTGAATTCTGCTCGAGACCAAGGAATAATCCGATTTGCTGTCATTGCTCCGGTCCTCACCATGCTGGTAGGTGGCGTTTGATTTTCGTACGGGGAACATCATTTTTATCGAAAGTCATTTGAAATTATTTCGTGTACGCGTGGAATTCACTTTTCATGATTATACAAACGTTCATTTGCATGTTACAATGCGTTGGTCAACTAGAATCTCAAGTGATACCTCCAACCAGTCGTGTAGTAAAAAAAAAACGGCATGTCCATGTATTGCACATCAAATAGGACGTGTTTTATTTTGAAAAAATTAACCATCGTGTGGAAATACAGATACGTCGGTCTTTTACGCGATCACTTGAATTTCAACAATTTTATCATGTCGTAGCGTCGTTGCCTGGCACACTGCTAAGATTATTCATTTTTTGTGCGCTCCCAAACTGTCATACTTTCATGTAAAATCATTGTTTGAAGGCTATCGCCAGTGCCCGGTACGGCTACAGCTGGTTAACGCTACGCAAGTTAGTCTGACTGTGAGTGCCAATCGCTTGAATTCCAACGCTTCGTCTGGCCAGACGCTGTTCAACTACAATAAACCAAGTAGCAATGCGGCATCAACATTCCCGACACAGAAGCCATCCTAACTTATTCCCTTCCGACCTGCATTCACCGAAAAATTGCAAGCTCTGCCTTTTCTTCCAAATATTTTAAACGACTTGAGCTTTGATATTGATATACATTTTTCTATATGCTTTTACATTATTATACAATAAAAATTTATCCATCGAAGACAAATGAAAAAGAGAACGAAACGGTTTTTCGTCGGTCTCGTACGACAACGCATCCGGCTGTCTACTTTTTTTTGCGCGCCTAAATCTTCAAATCGACGCACGTGCGTCTGCAAAGCGAGACCTGATGTATATACATACACATCGGAACGAGTTTACCGCATGCGGCACAACTTATAAACGCCAACGCGCTCGCGCGACAAATCGTCCCACTTTCTTCGAAGGAGCTGCTCGCGCGTTTAACAAAAGTAGGTTCTCGCTTCTTCTGCCATCCCCGTTTTCTCTTTCTCTCCGTCTAAGTTTTCTTTTTTTTTTCTTTACTTTTTGTATTCCTGGCTGCCCACATATGCTTCTGTCTTTTATGAGTTTTTCCTTTTTGCAAGCCGGATGATAACTATCACCTTGTAATTTCAGATCGTTATGCAATGGAACCCGCTGTGTTGGAAGAGAGACACTTTTTTGCAATGTTGTTTGTTTCCTTGTTGTAGCGAATGTTTTTAAAATGAAGAATTTGAAGAATCGGTTGTTTTTTTTAATTATTTTGACGAGTCGATTTGTTGAATTTTGCAACATTTTTGCTGAACGTTAGGTTTTTCGGATAAAAGATGATTTAATAGTGTCTGGCAAAGCCGATAGAAAAAATTGCGACACGATTTTTATCGTGAATTTATGTTTATGTAAGGTAAAAAGCTAAAATAGAAAAGCATCAACGGATTGATTGTGTTGTAACAGAGTTTGATCACGTTCTGCACTTTTTCTATACTCCGGGAAGCGGTTAAAAATGTCTTATCGGTCTCGTCAAGTTATTCAATTGGAAAATCGATTACACGTGCGATTGAGAATTTAAACAACTGATTAACTCGATGCAAAAATCAGCACCTAACTTCTAATGAGGATTATAAAGTAAACAAACAAACAAAAAAAGAAGTAAGGATAACGATGAGACTTCGTGTGTCATAACAATGACAATAATAATAACAAAGCTCGAACGGCGATCGCAACAGCGTGTCAGCAAGTTCAAGTAAGACGCATCAACAAAGGTGGGAGAGCGAAAGGCTCTCGTCGGCGTCGACGTCGGCCAAAGTGTATGCCCCCGGCGATGGTAGGAGAAAAGAAAGAGTAGGCATATCGAGTGTGGACCCAGAAACCTGCGCGGCAGTCGAAGGCCGCGATTCTATCTGAACGCTAGTGGTGCATAACAGCACACCAGTTACATATTTCATTTTCAATGTGCACGCTGCAATCCTACTGATTGGTCACGCACAAAGACGAAAAAGAGGAAAAAAAATCGAGTGTCGCTGCAATGATAATCATCCGATTTCACCGGCGGTGAGGAGAATCTCAGAATAGCGACGCGGGAAAGCTTAGTTCGTAAAGAGGATGCGCGCGACAATTTTCCGGAGCTGAGGTAAGTTGGGTGTCCCCCTTTGGTACTTCTCTAATGAGCAATTTGCGCGCAACCGTTTGAAGAAGCGCGCGTACGTGCGTGGTCATTTCGACTGGCTTTCTTTCTAAGGCGCTTTTATCGGGCGCGTTTTCAAAATTAAGAAATCTTACGATCTCGTGTACAATCATTTCGTTTCCAAATGATACCGTAGAGCAGAATTCGGAAAAACCTTCAAATATTCCACTGTCAAGATTATACTGAAAATAAATAATTAACCAAGTGTGAAAGCTCAATTACTAAATGACTATCAAAATTTTCGCTATTAATATCCAACTGAGTTGTGCTGACTTGAAATGCTCAGCAGGATGTCAAACTACAAATGCAATCGCGAAAATTTTCCTCGTTCTACAACGAAACTACGTCGACCTGAAAAAGCGAATTAATCTCACGCTCACGTTTCTTTTTCTTTGTCCTGTCAGCTCACCATAGACAAGCTCATGTATAGCTGTGTGCAAACTTGGCAGTGTACAGTGCATCTCGAAATACCGATTACATATAATCTAAATCCCACCTATCTCGGACGAAAGTGAAATCATGATACGAATGCTGTTTTTGCTGCTCACTTTGAGCGGCAAAACACTGCAAGATCCAATCTTCAAACCATCGCCAAATTTGGCGACAAGTGTCTTCAAAGGATTACCAAATTTACCGAGTTTGAATAAAACTGCCGGCGAGACAAGAATGGTTTATTACCACGAGCAAGTTATTGCTGTGGTGGATGTATTGAATGGCCGGAAACTGCTTCACTGCGAGCTCATCGAAGTATAGTGAGTGCAAAAACGCGAGACTATGAATAATTATAGAGACAACTTTCGATTGGCGAAAGTGTTTTGTATACTTCTTCTCGCGCCATCACGATTTCTTTATTTTTTTTATGCAGATATAATGTTGTTGGGTCAAGGCTTGCTAGTATTTTCAACGACTTGGGTTTATTAGTATCTTTTTTACTGACAAATTTATTGAAGAAAATACTTGTGGAAAAAAGTGAAATAATTATTGAGTGCTGATAGTTTTGTCGACAATGTAGTAAATTTAGAAAAATTTACGTTATTTACCTAAGAAAAATGCAGTTTATTTTACTTTTATTATCATATAAAATCTTAAGCTATTTTGCATTTTTTACGTGTAATTTATGACTGGATAATAAACCTTTCGAAACGTCTTTGACAATCCGCAATTTTTTTAATTTATATTACAAATTTATAACTATTAATTGAAACTTGTAAATATTTTAGTGAACCAAAGGAATCAGAGGGATTATTAAGGAATCTTTCTGTATCATTCAGGCTGAACAAACTCACATTCAAAGACATTATGAAGTTAATGGATAAGTGTGACAAATTGGATGAGAATCCATCAAGAGCTATCAATTTAGTCACTGCAAGTGCGGAAAAAGCTCATGGTGGAAATCCTTTACTTATCGGAATAATTCCCGGTAAAATTAATACAAAGCAATTTATTTATAAACAGTTTTTGTATACTGAAAATAAATTTTCTGTGTAGGAACAAAATGGTGTGGAACTGGAGATATAGCAAAAAGTTATCATGATTTAGGAACGCGAACGAGAGTCGACAGGTATAAATAATATAGATTTATTTACAAAAGTATTTTATTTTAGAATTCATCTCACAATTTTTTGTTTAAAAATTACTGTCTCCGAAACAATTAATTCTTATCGTTATAAAGATAGAAATTTTTAGTAAATACTTATTAAATTTGTTCTTGAATAAATATAGACAATACTATTGAACATCAAACATTTCATATAATTTCAAACGTTTAAAAAAATTCTTAGATGCTGTCGAGCTCATGATCTATGCCCCGTAAAAATTAGAGCCTACAGGTCACGATACAATCTCACGAACAACTCGTTTTTCAGCAAGTACGTAGATTGTTAACAAATGACACAAATTTACAGATGCATAACTTCATTATTTCATTTTTTAGATCTCACTGTACTTGTGACGAGACCTTCTACAATTGCCTTAAGAGCATCAATCACGTATCTGCAAATATTATTGGCAATATATACTTTAACATTGCGCAACCTCCATGTGTAGAAGATGAGACTAGTCGAAAGGACTCGAAAAAATTTGTCCCTGCTAGAAGAGTATTTTAATCTTAAAGAAATTTTTTATAAAAAATTGTGATATAATTAGTGTTAATTAGGTGGTGCTATTTATTAATTTCACTTACTTTCCCTTTTGGTACATCACGTTTACATCACGTTGTTTTGTTAAATGAATTGAGTGCTAATTTTATAGACGGTAACAAAGGTACGATTGACTTTATCAATCGTTGAACAGTCTCTAAATTATGGTTCAAAAGATTACCTGTAATAAGAAGCAGATTATGTGTCAGTGACCTATATTTATGTATGTTTTCATATAAAATAATCATACACAAAAAATACCAAATTTGTTAATAATATTACTACCTAATAACCATAAAGTTTCATTCCTTAGATGAATATATTGATGACATAGCAATTTATCTAATGTTTGACAAATATTTTCACTATTTTCTTTTAATAAAATATGAGCTACATATCCTGATGATTCGAATGTAGTATTGCAAATAATTCTTAAAGCAGCAGAAATCTAGAAAATTAATTATTTTAATTTATTTTTGGAACAATCGAAAAAAGTACTAAATATTTATGTATAAAAATGGTACCTTTTGAATGTTTTCGTCAGGCATGAACACAGCTTGAAAAAGGTACTCATAGATTACAGGTACTAATTTAACAATATGAGTAATATTTTCTGAGTTTGCAGATAGTAGGGCCAATAACCACAATGTTTCAGAGTCTAAATCAGAAATTTGCACGATATGTTCAACAATAGTTTGTGTAAGCTGCTGGATATCTATAGAACTAAAAAATAAATTATTTAACTCGATCACAAAATAATTCAGTCTATACATTTTTGTAAACATCAACTTACTCAATACTTGTAATTCCTACATGTATGTACCTCAAGCATGCATAGCTAACTGCAGGTAATAGATTAACAGGGCATTCTTTGGCTAAATTAATCAATGATTGAAAGCAATTTTGTGCATGTAAAATAGAAAATGCTTTAATACTTCCAATACATAAATTACCAATAGTCCAAGCGCAAACTTCCTGAACATAAAATATTATATAAACCATGTTTTCTTTCAATTATATGTGCATGTGTAAACTGAATTTACTTACAACTAGTGGTTGATTAGTACTTTCAAGTTCAGAAATTAAATATGGAGCTATGAATTTACACAATAAAAAACAGGCTTTAGAATCACCTAAAGAAATATTACAACTACAATTTGCAGCAGCTAACTTTGATTGAGCAGGTGTACCAGATAAATCTCTGCACAGGCCCTTAATTGCATGTTCTACTGTGAAAAATGCATTTATATGACTTTTATTCTGAAATAAAAATTTATTCAACCAAATTAATTGCTTTCTCCAGTACTAAAACAATTAATTTATTTTTTTTTATCATGCTCACTTGAATCAAGGCATTCTGCAATTTTCTATATTCTGTAATAGGTAATGTTTTCTTTTTAAGAGTTTTGGTAGTTTCTATAACATATTGTTCATCGTATACACGATCATTATCATTTAAATTTCCTAAAATTGATCGAGTTCTGCTGAGGTTGAAGTCTCTTTGAAATTTTCTTTTTGTAAGCTTTTCACGCCGTATTTCATCGCGAATTGATTCCACTGTTTCATCTTTATTAGGTAAAAGATGAAGAAATCCTTCTGCCATAATTTATAAACTAAATTTTTTATAATTACACGTCAAATGGAATTTTGTTAAAAATAAACCACGTAGCTTAGAAGTGTATACTTTTTAACGTAGGCAAAACATAACCTATACTCAATGCGAACAGCTGATTACACTCTTGCACAAAAATTTGATTCGACTACTTACCTTTTCCGTGTTATTATGGACTGACATTTTGGTTGATATTGTACAGTTTTAAATGCATGCTATATTTGAATTTTTGAATGCTGTTTTGAATAGATTGCGTATAGGTGAATATATCATATTTCAGTAAAAATATTAATTTATTTAATGCAAATAACTGACCACAACAAAAATAATTAATTCTATTATCATATATGTGCGAAAAACAGAAATACTTAGAGAGCGTTTTCATATTATAAAGTGACTTATATGAACCTCCTGTGTTCTATTCACCCTCGCTTTGCTTGGACGCGACATCCACACGAGGTTGAAATTAGTTTCGATTGATTCATCAAACGTACTGTAATAGATAGTAATACATGAGAGTAATAAAAACTAAATAAGATGGCATAGAGTAAATAAAAATATTACTGGCAATATACCTGATTATAATGAAGGTTCTATTTGTATTTGAACTCAAAAGTCGCGAATGTATAATATATGATATGTGAATATTTGAAATACAATTAGCTAGTTACCCGTGATAAATATAAAATATCAATAAAAATAAAACCGGTGGCTATCTACAATCTGAAATAAGTTGTAATAAACGTATAAGTAGTAGAAGCATTAGTATGGATTGACGCATGTTTGTAAGGCTAAAGCAAATAATTTTGTAATAAACCAAATCAATTTCTGGACCAATAGGTGGAAATAAAGATTTCATTATTATATTATTATGTATAACAACGATCAGCGATACAATGACTGCAGAAAATATCATAATATTTTTAAATTTAAGCAATCATTACCTTTATCATTTCCGATACAAAACTTATCAAGTTGTAGGAATGTATGCTAATTATATCTTATTTATAAAGCTAATAATTTCCATTTCGAAGATAATTGTGATCTTTTTGAATGCGATTGTACAATAAGTCTGGTGGAAGTTTCAGTGTTAGCATTTTTTCAATGTTATTAACTCTGACTACAAAGCGTTAAGATTATCATTGCAATATTCCGTGTGTGCTTGAGTTAAGTCAGGTTTATTCGATGCGGGTACAATAATGAATAATATTTTGTCTTTACATTTGAGCAAACATAAATTCGGCTTAAAACTGTTTTTATTATTTTTTTTAGATATAATAAGCTTAATTTTTAGTAAAAATCCATTGGAATTTTTTCAAGAAATATATTAAGGAAACTTTTTTATTGGAATCTTGTTTCTAAATTTTAATGACGCATTGCGTTGATTTTATTTTCGCAGCTGTTGCTACGGTTTGATAGTTACATTTTTACTTTTAATTCAAAAAAAGTTCATTGCCCTAAAATAATTTATTTTTTTTTTCATTTCATTAAACGAGAATCAATTGAAATTTGACATTGACGAAGAAAATTTTAAAAAAACCTTCAGTAGGCAATTAATATTCTAACTTTGGTTACTAGTGGAAATAAGAATTTGAAATTGTCAGAATAATAATTAATCGATATTGCTAGAACATGTGTTTCTGCAGATGATAACTATGCTGTAAACTTCCTAAAACTTCGCGTCGATTTACTTTACAACCGATTTGAATTATGATCATCACACAAGAAAACGAACCTAAAGAAAGCATGAAAGTCAAATACAAAGATACGAAACCGGCTTTCCATGCAATATAAAGCCCCGTAATTAAAGACGGATACTTCATTTTGTTGACTCCTTCAGAGTCCGTTACACCCACATATAGCATAAGATACTTAATTGATAAATTCATTTTTGCCATTTTGCTCCTAAAATTCAAAGCATGAAAATATTGGTTGTGCTATTATCTCTCTCTATCAGTCAAGAATTCTGCAATGGATCTGTGCAATTGAGATCTTTTGGTCCTTTGGACATGAGATCCCGAAAAATGCGCATTTTTCAAGGTATACCACAATTTCCTGCTTTAGCAAGTGATCGGAAACGTGAGTTGTACAGTTATGAACAAACCATTGTGATAAGAGATGCAAATTTAAATGATAAAGTTAATCACTGCGAAGTAATTGAAGTTTAGTAAGTATATTTGATTTCAGTACGAATTATTCATTAAAATATTAATTTTCCTATTTGAAGCTAAATTTTACGTTGATTTCATTTCTATAGCGAGAAAAAGGAAGTTGTGGAAGTTTTGAATAAATTAAAATCCCAGTTCAATTTAAAAGTTGAAAAAATTGACATGGTCAGAATGATGGCTTTAGTGCGCGATTGTGATTCAGTTGACAACTTAGACAGCAAGGAAAGAGCAAACGAAGTGCCAAAAATAAAGTCACGTTCACCAAATGCACTGATCAATGGCATTTTTCCAGGTAAATTGTATTTAATAACATCACATGAAGTGATAAGTATATCATGGTGATTTTCTTTATGCGGTATAAGAATACTTTATAAAAATCGATTGCCGTTTAATTCATTAGGAACAAAGTGGTGTGGACTAGGAAATATTGCTAATGGTTTTCATGACTTAGGAAAGTTGCACAATGTAGACAGGTATAATATTTTTTTATGGATTTATCGATACGCTTATCTTTGGTTTTAGTTTTACATAAATTTAAAGTTGGTATTGAATTTAGATGCTGCCGATCTCATGACTTTTGTCCCATTAAAGTTCTTAAAAAAGATCAACGTTACAATCTCACCAATACAGCATTCTATACAAAGTAAGTAAATAAATTTTCATTGATCATATGAACGTACAGTATATTGATTAAAAATTATACGATATTTTTTAGGAGCCATTGTTTATGCGATGAAACTTTTTATGACTGCTTGAAAAAAGATAACGGATGGTCAGCCATATTTATTGGAAATATTTATTTTAACGCAGCTTCACCAAACTGTATTAAAGGTGTACCTGAACAGTCTAAAGAAACAATGAAATTTATACCTGCTACCAAAAAATGGTAGCATTAATTTTAAAAGAATAATTATTTTATAAGATACCTATAGTTTAAACACTATGACTAAAGTATAACATTTATATTATTGAAGCTTCAATATTTATTATCAAAATTATTGTACATATGTTTATGATAATATATTTAAGTGTAATTATTCTAATTTAGTATTGAATATGTAGTGCATTGAACAAAGGCACCAAAAATATCAGTTCAGTAGTCAAAACATTCTTATGAATTATATATTTATGATTAGCTATAATTTTTATCAAGACTAATTATCAATTATGAATAGAATTGGCGGTAGTGGTAAATCTGTAGATACGAAATTATTTTCTTAAACCACTCATCCAGTGCATAGATCAGCTGGACCGTTTCTTTAAATGTATACAAGATAAAAAGAAAATTATAGAGACTGTCACGTTATAAAACTTTTAAATTATCACGTCAGATTGTGTACTATATACCTTTTGTGTTTTTCTAGTTTTTATTACTTGTAATTGATTAATAATTGGTTTCGAAAATGAAAAAATGTTATATGTTTTATCATATGAAAGCTTTATTATTAAATACTAATGTCATCAAAATATAGGTACAAGAGGTAAAATTTGCATACCAATTCTATTTACATCGAGCTAAAATAATTTTATTGAGCAATTCGATAAATTTTTTTTTATACGCACAGGAATATTATAATATTTCACACTTATTTATTAAGCCAACTACAATTAATCATACCAAATTAACTATTTATTGAGAATCATTTTGTAAGTTTAGCTATCTATAATATTTAGTGATTAATTTCATCATAGGTTGAATTTAATTCTTCAATATCAAAGGGTTCAAATCGATCATCCTTTAGTTCTACTAAATCAATAGCAAGAATATTGTAGATGGGTTTCTCGTATACAGCAGATGGTCCTAGTATTTGCATACGCACAGTACATAGCTTGTCAACGTATTTTTCTTTTAAGATCATACGTTCTTCACGGGGCATATCCTATAAACGATTGAAAATTATTATTATTTAGTACATTGATTTATTTCAAATTTAAACGTTTAATGAAATCAGTGTACTTTGAGTACATCTGCAGTACACCCAAGAACAGTTTCTGCAGCAGCATCTTTTAAGCGACATCCCACCAAATATCCTGAATCATCTCTTAAAGTTACCATGATATTTAAGCTCATGACATTCATCGGACTTTTTATTCCATTTCCAAAAGGGCATTCCAAATTCATGCAAGAATCTTTACCGTCACTGACGACTTTTTTGCATTTTGCGCTATAAGTAAAAATATTCACTTTTACAAAAGATCTAATGAATATTTTGTAGAAAAAATTAGTTTTTCATATACCATCTAGCACTTATTACAGTTGGGTCAGTAGAATCAAGATTCATATCATCAATGATTGTAGTTACGGCTACCAGTAGTTGCATTCGTTCATCAGTTGGATTGGTTAGTGCACAATTGATTCTTGCAGTTATTTCACGAATTGTCATCTGCTTTGTTATAGAATTAGCTGAATTGAAAACATTAATTTCATAAAAATATATTATTTTATTTTTGATGAATGGAAAAAAATAACTTAAAATTTATTTGAAATTATATTTGAGCAATGATACTATTCCAAAATAAAGAATTATAAATAAAAAACTTACGATTTGGAACAGCAAACGGAGACATAGATCCATGTTCTGGTTTACTTTGTAGTACAGCCCTCAATTCTTTACTTTCAACAACATGGGGATTTTCTGTGATCACCGTTTTTCTAACTATTTAAAAAATAGAATTAATCCTTGTTAAATAAATAAAATTAGATACGTAAAATTACGTACCTATCGTGAGAGCTGATTTCTTGATCCTGCTATTATAAGTGATTTGAGCATCTGCCAAAAACAAAATAGTTTGTTTTGGTTGCCATTGATCAGCAAGCTTTATCCACTCGCTATCCCAGAGAGTCAATGAAACTATTTGTTCTGTTGACCCATCGCCTACTTCAAATTCGCGAATCTTCGTCAACTCTCCCTGTCGAGTTACAATTTCACGAGTTTGACTAACCTATGATATCAATTTTTTGTAAATTTCATCTCAAACTTTTAGCTAATATTAAAACAGAAAAAGATCAACATACAAAAGTTACACCAACAAGTACATCAACGAACTGATTTTTTAGCATTTCATTGTTCTCCAAAATGTACGCCAAAGTAATAGTTCCAGCTGGATCTTTTGTTGGCAAGTGAAGTAAATTTTGAAAAAATTGAGAAGCTGGGCTAGTGTGCATTTGGATCAATGATGAATTCTGGCTGAGAGTCAGTGTGTAAGGACTCGATACCGTTGGAACGTAGACTTCATTTGGATCATCGGGCTTGCGTTCTGTTATTTTCGCATTGATGACTTCAACTGAATTTAAAAATCGAATAAAAAAATTAATAAATACTAAATTCTTATGGAATGCATATATAATTGTATTGTAAGTTTAGCATTGATGACTTTAACTGAATATGAATGAAAAATTAATTGAAAATCAAACTTTAAAAAATTAAAAAGTTCTTGTAAAGTAAGTTTCTGGAAAAGCTATCAGATTTACTTCATGTCAGTGATGGATTGTTTTCATTATCAAGATATGAATTAACAATGATTTACCAATACTTCCAATATGAAAAGTTGTGAATAACTTATTAATATAATCAACAGTGCCCCAAACAGCTACATTGATGAAGTCATCTATCGTATCTCTCAGAGTGAAGTTCCAAACTGCTCGAGATTCCATATTATCTACATTGATTTTTGTTGCAATTAAATAATTATATTTATTTAAAATATATTCCTATACAGCATTGTGTATATAAGATTCTAACACAAGTTTGATTCAAGTTAAACTTGATATCAGAGCTAAGAACAACGTATCGATGAATCATGAGGTAAGTAAGCTTTGAAAAAACTTTAAAAATTTCCTGATAATGAGGTTATACGTGACAAAATAGCCGACAATTAATTCATTTGGCTAAAATAAATGTAGTAAAATAAAAAATGAACTTACATCTTGCCCTTGTAGGGTCAATAATCTTTGAATTTTGACTTCTTATGATGGCTCCAATGATAATGGTATTTTGCATTTTCGATTGCAGTGAAGCTATTGGCTGTCGCGATACATTTGCCATTTTTTAACCTTTTACTAATTATTACCGATGATTGAAATAATAAATAAATAATAAAAATTTCAAACTAATATTTAAGTCGTAAGATACGCAGTAAAAACGATTACTAGTATGAGACGTTGTAATTTTCAAATTTTATATTTCTTGGAACAATTTGAATTAACTGCATTACCGATCGCAGAGTTATTGCAACGGACAAATATAGAATACGAATAATACGATGAAAATGAGAATTGGAAAGGAAAATTTGAAATACATGTTTAAGTTATTCTTAAAATTTTTATTTAACACTTTTTTTTATAATGCTTCTAAATAATATTGTAACCTACTTGTTTTTCAAAAAATATTTTTATGATTGTTCATTCTACTAATAGAAGCTTTAATTTGTTCGATAAATGAAAAGTTTCAAAAATATATATTTAATGTAAAAACTTCGAAAATAACTAAAAGCTTTTAAATTTAAGATCATTATAATTCACTAAGTAGGATAGCAAAAAAAGTTTGCAGTAATTTAATTATTTATGGACCATTATCTTAATGTAGTCCACTTTGTAAGGTAAAAATATCAAAAATATATTTATATCATGAAATTATTCACCGAATAATAGAAAAATCGTAGAAGCCTTTTTAATCATTCATATTATGAATTAAGGCACAAATTTTGTTCTAAGTAATACTGCCATCACTTACATTCATTATTCAATAGCCATTGATATATTTACATACCGTATTAATAATCACAATATTCTTTGTTTTTACAATACATGTTGTGTACATACAATTCATTTGCGCGCCTAAGAATTAAATTAAGTAAACGTCTTTTAACCTTAAGCATTGATTGACATTTGATTAATTTACAAGGTATACATCTATTCTACTCTTTGCTGATTCTCACTGAAATACTTTACGAAACAGTTAAAAGCTCTCTTCTTTTATACATAAGAAACTGTTACCTTTTCATAACCTTTGTTGAATGAAATTGGTACATATATAATCATTCTAGAATCAGTACTTGATACTAAAAAGCAAGTAACGCTACTATAAGTTTTTCCTATCTTTAAATTTTATATTAAAAAATTATGGTTGTTAGAATAATCCAAGATTCATTTTAATGAAAATGCAATTTCGTCATGGAATACAAATTTCTAACAATATAAATAAAATATCGAATATATTTCAATTATTTTTCAATCTTGAAAATTATTCCTTCAATTCCTTAAGGAAAATTATAAAAAATTCATTTAATTCATGATAAAAGGCAACATTGCGTTAAGTAGCAAGGATGAAATCCCAGGAATATTGATTCTGAATACATTTAGTAATGAACGCAGCCCAGTCTTCGAGTGCAAAAAATATCTTAAGTATCGTTAAACATTTCGTTAAAAATTATAAAAACCAGTCCTTCGAATGTCATTCATCAAATTAAAATTTTTCGTATTCCTGGTTTTATACATAGATACTACAAAAGTTGCTAGCTATATTCGCTACCTCGTGGAATCTGATGCAGATTTACGAGCTGCACACATGCTATCATATTCCTCGCATTTCCCCGTATTAAAAGTAAAATTAGCTAATTATTGGCGCGAGGAAGTATCAAGGGAATAATAGCCACCAGGGAGCACCTGACAATAAATGCTATGCGCCAATCTAAAGCGCGAACTTGGTTTCCGCAGCCATGCGGTTTAAATATCCGTAAGAAATCGACATTTCCCGTTGAATTTTTAGACCGGAGTTTCAGGATTGTTGTCCCATTCCTGAGCATTTTGCCTTGACAAGGATCGTCCACCATTAGAAGAATTCATCGATTCATGAACAACTAAACTAATCGCGTCGACATAGTGATCGATAGTGTCAACACTAGAGTGGTCACCACCTCGTCGCATACTCTTGTTGGTTGCGGAAATCGGCGACACGGAGTCGCTACTTTCATCCTCTGGACTGGTAGCCTTGAACACATTATCCGAGGTGGAATCATTGCTTGGGCTGGACATTCCGGAAACAAGTGGCGTTGACTCTCCATCGCTATTTTCCTCGACGACACCAGTTGTAGTCGTAATAGCAGCCTCACCTTGATGATGTTGCTGTTGTTGGTTCAACTTGCTGCCGCTTAAAATTCGATCTTTCAGTTTGGTGAGCTTACTGAGGCCAGATGAGCTTGTGGATGAGACGACTGGCACGGGGATGCTAATGGTCAATTCCTCGCTGAGTGACGAGGTTGATAATCGCGATTTTAAACTACGTTTCGATGAAGCAGTAGTCACTAAATCTTGGCTCCCATAAGTACCATGATTATCGGACTTAGATCTTAGTGCAGGCGATGATGGTGGCGAGATTAGTAACGAAGATGGTCGTAGCACCGTCACCTGTTTATTGCCTCTCTGAAGGTGTGCACTTGCGGCTGGAGCTCTGAACTGAGAGGTTGAGCAGCTGGACACGATGCTGCAACGCGAACTTATGCTTCGCTGCGAATTAGTACGGTGGATGGGAGGAAGATTGACGGAGTCGAGGGAACTGTCTGATGAGGTATCTTCCTCGACTTGATCGTCAGATACTGGTATCCAATGCAGCAGTGGATTAGATTGCAATATTACATAGTCCGTGTCTTGCTGTGAAATACTTGATGCTCTTGATCTTATTCGGTCACCTGTAAATCATCATTTATATCATTTGTTTATGGGCTTCTTTTTTCATATCGGTCAATACATTCAATAAGTTTTTTGGAATTCAACAAGGAATTTCAGAAATTCCAAAGCTACTTGCATTTAAAATATTAAGATGCATTTTGTAAATATTTTAGTCTTATTTTTGATAGGCGATTGTTTGATGCATACAGTATGCAAAAAAAATTTGGTTTAAGGGTTAATAAAGTTTTTCATGCATTACAAATAAAATAACTATAGAAATAATAAATGTTATGAGGTAATTTACTTTATATTCTTAGCTACCACGACTTTAGGAAAAAATTAAGAATGAATTTACTGTTAAAAAGGTTGTAAGAGAAAGTGTTATTACACATTGCTACATTCAACTCTTTACAGCCATGCAAAATAGTTTAAAACATCTTTACTTATGTTACTTTAAAAAGCGAAGTTGAATTTTTGAGGAAAGCAAAAGAACTGATAATTAAATAGGTACAGTCAAAATTTTATATCCAAAACTGCTTTAACCACAGTTCAAGTCCATTTCCGTGTAGACCTGCCCTGACATCCGTCGCACCTTGGATCGTAGGATTGTAAAAGACGGTTTCTTATCAGAATAAACTGATCAACATATCAATGAATGAAAGTGGCAATAAACATGCGCATTCGTTTCGATAATTTTTCAAGCAACTCTTTATTATCATGTATATTTTTGATATATAATATAATACTTTTTTCATTAGTGACGCAGACATATTTCACGTATGCCTTATAGCGACAAAAGTATATATATAAGTCACTCATAATAATTTTCAAAATGACGGTTTCAATCTTATAAGATATACAAAGACTCTTTTCTTTTCAAATTTTCGAAGCTACAATATCCAATAGGACCGATTTAGAAAAAAACAATTATTCTATATGTATAACAATATCATTGCACAGACTCGACGGTGCAGAGATCATCAAAGGAACAAATTTTTCTCATTTCTTTAGGCGTGTTTATATGTAGGCTTAATCGATATTGCTTAAACACTTATATCACAGTTCTTTCCAATGAACGTAGTGCTTCTCGGCAAGCTTGTACTGTCTACTTAGGTACTTCTTTTTATATACATCTTAGGAAACATGTTAAGATATAGATTGGCGTTCTGTTATACTTATTATTCATTCACGTGCATAATTAAACATTAAGTTTATATAATTCTTTTGCTAGGGCACCTTCAACATTTCATACATATACCGCATGAAATTAAGACATTTATATGTACAATGTTAACTTTCATTAGGAAGGTATTCTTGGAATTAATGCTTACTTATTGTTTTCGTACTTGTAACAAATATGTGATTATAGACAAATTTACATAAATTCTTAACTAATATGTATAGGCCTATTACTTTAATATACGAAATGCTACATTATAAGCTTGTGTAATTTTCTTTTTTTAAACACATTTTTAAGTGATTGCATAGTACAGTCGTTTTATAAAATTCACGTGATTATGTATATGTAAAGCTATTTTGTAAACATTTTAATAATGACACGTCTTACAAATGCTATAACAAAAGTTTCCAAACAATTAAAAATATTTTACTCCATAAAAAAATGCTTTAAACACCAGTTGACAGTCAACAACGTAGTTTTGTTTTGGCACAAGTTATATAATACTCTTGAATATGATTATTTAATAACGAAGTAGAAACGATATTAGATTATCGAGAGGTTCACTAGAATTTTATTATTGGCACAAGACAACTCTATATAATGGAATTCCTTGAAACAATATTTGTACTAGCATTTGCTTTATGTAGAAAAGTTGAGTAATGCGGCGTTGTGCATTTATTTATATGTGTGTGGGTGTGTGTGGGTGTGTGTATGTGTGTACAACAATCCGTTGTACAGACAAAAAAAAGAATAAAATCAATAGCAGCAGCACAAAAGCGACATGTGTGTTCGTGTATATATCTCGTATAACTCATTATAGAGTTATAAGGTGCGTTTTTAGAAATTTTGCAAGTTGTTTTTGCCTAAAAGTTCGTGGTATACTCATTAACGGAGTCAGGGCTTTGGTCGGATCTCGGTGGTTCTTGGACTATGACCAAGGGCAGTGTAAGCGGAAGAGAAGGGGGCTCACCTGGCAGTGAGTCCGTGGGGACGATCGCCGGTGATACCGGCACGTCCAGCACGTCCTCGCAAGCCTCTTCGTTCAACGTTTGCAATGCTCCGCATATCATTTGCTCCTCTAGCGTTACCTGCAATATTTCATTAGTTTTTAATTTTAATCGATTCACGAATCACCGGTTGAATATTAGTTACATTCTTACACCAATATTTTATACACTCGGACATTTAAAAAACAAGTGTTAGTGCGCTTGTTGAGATCTTACCTGTAAAAGCTGTAATTTATGATATTTAATATTATATCCGTGCGTGCATAAAATAGCCAAAAAAAGTTACAGATTAATTAATTTTTTAGTGAAGCGTGTATTTTGTGTATTTACAGCGGTAGTGATATTCAAATGAATTCTTTACCTGTTTCTCCATTATAGATTGTTTTCTTTCTTGTTCTCTTCTAGTTGGACCGTCCGTTCTTGATAAACCTTTATCCTTTTCAATAATTGCAGATACCCGTACAGCTGTATTTTGAGTCGAGTGTTCCACTATTGAATATACGAATTTAATATTTGTCAATTGTGTGAATAATAAACATAAAAGATATGAGAATCTTGTTTACCTTTACGATTACTATCTTCTGCACCTACATGAAATCTAACGCTTCGAGAACCTTCTTCTTGAGTCATAAAATTGGTCAGCTCCTGCTCCCTCAATGATATAATTACCATACGAAATAATTCCCAATCTCCAAATGACATTTTAAGTACCTTATCAAATGAAAAATGAAAAATATTGAAATTTCAAGTCTTCAATATTAATGATTTTATATAGAATAAACTTACATTTTTTAATTCCTGCAAATCACAATGAAGAAGTACTCTGCCAGTTATATTATTTTCTTTTATTATTTCTCTGTAATATGGAATTTGGTTAGGGTTGAGATCTTGAATGTTATCAAGTAAGTTACAAAGTGCATCAACTGTTAAACAAGATAGTTTGAGATCAAGAATATCCGGCTGAAAAAATATGAAATTATCAAAATAACCATACAGACTATTTATTCTATATCATCATTAAAAAAGAATCTTACAGGTAAGTTTGTAACTGCTGAAATAGGCTTTGGTATAGGTTCTAATGATGAATGCATATGCGACCATTGTGGCATTTGCCAATCATACGGCGTTCTATAATTCGACCAAATTGAAGGAGGTGGTGGTAGCGTTGGAGGCACATTAGTAGCTGGACCAGCAGTCGATCTTGCCAATCGCGAATGTCTGTTGTTTAGGGTATTCCGGTTTATTAGCCAACCAACTTCGGGAACCACGGGGGCATTCCATTTGTATATGCCAGAATGATTCGCTTCTTCGTCAATGCTTTGCTGCTCTTCTTTGATTTTTTTTTTAATGTAAGGATCGAGATTGATTGTGAAGGGCAGAAAGATTTTCATGTCGCTAACGAGAAGGCTCGATCGGTGAAATGTAAGGAAAACGTCGAGCTTTCGTTCATCTCGATCTATTTCAAGGAGTGGCTGGACATCTTTCAATACTGGGATTTGAGGACGAACTCTGCAATTATTTATGAGAGTATCGAATCATGCGTATGAGAAAAATAAAAAATACGTAAGTAAAATACCCGTGTAACTTACTTATCATAGAGACTTTTCAGCGACATCGAATCATCAAGATTATCTTCGCAGGAATCGTAGTATAAAATCATCCACGACGTTCTAAACGGCCATTGTTCAGTGATATTTATCCAACTAGCTAAATGGTACCAGTTAAAATCAATTTGGAATGCTTTAAGTAATCTCCCTGAGAAAAAATACCCGTTAACATTTCGAATTTCAATGAAATAATAATGCAGCATTAAAAAAAATACCTGTAACGTAAACGACGTTAAGTAATCTTCGCATACTGCGTGGATTAACGTCACTGAAGTAATCGTCGGTAAGCAGCATTTTGTTAAGATCTTGAGCTCCACCCAGGCGATTTAAATTGCTACCTATACTACTGGCTATGGATTCGCTGAGCTTCAACTTTCTGCTGTTTTTACGACTCGGCGGTTTTAATTTCTCATTACTATTCATCATAACGCTTGATTCAGTACTCAAACGGCGATTTGATACCGAACGATGCACGGGATTTGTCGTCGCATAATTGACACTCTCTTCAGCTTCATTCCACGTGGCCTTTTTAGTGCTGTGCAAAGCCGTTTGTTGAGCTATTTTGACTTTGCGTAAGCCACTGTTTTGCAGGTAAAAGGGTAAGTGCACCATGTTGCGCAAGTAATCGTGTCCACCGATATTTGACTCAGTAAAGAGTCTTCGGCTATTAACTTCTACGGCCTTAGAACGGAATAATATGTTTGCAAATATACTTGACGGAATTAAAATTACATTATTTATACAATAATTTAATACCTTAGATATAATGTGAGGATCAATAGCTAGGATAACAACAAAAGGGCACCCATTATCGCTAAATAAGGCTTGTATTGCATCGAGCACCAATAACACTTTGTCTTGTTCACAGCTGTCAAGACCATCAACAATAACGACTAGTCTACTTTTTTGGGCTGTAAAACTATCTAGGCACTTGACCTGCAATAAATAAATTCAATTAATATCTTTTAAACAAAAAGATTTTTGCTTAACCGATGGATGTTTACCATTTCCGTCATAAGATTAACTTCGCTTCTCAGAGTTTGCAGAAAACCTTCGCTCTTTAAAGTTTCCAACTTGGCTATGCGCCTCCTTAATTGCCTTCGTTGCGAAAAGACTAAGGATTGAAGGGTTCTGCTCCATGTGTATAAATTTGCTATTATACTTACAGCCAACAGCAAAGCAATACTTATCATTATGACATGCGCAGTTACGCGCTCGATTACTGGACTGAAAAAGAAAAAGCACCATTTTGAAATTAAAGATGCGACATTTATTTTTCAATTTTCTCTTTAGTTAATGTACTTACTCATCCTCGGGAGAGTCGACAAGATAAACAGTAAGTATGGAAACGCCAACGAGGAAGCTACAGAAACAGAACTCGAATATGGCTACATAAGGCAAACAACAGAGATGCCTCCACCTCCATGAGGCAGTACTTTTAACAGGCTTGGGCCGGAAAGCCCTATACAAACGCGTAGGCAATGAACCAAACTCGTTCTCGATCGAATCATACAACGAGCCAACCATTTGTACAACAGCATTTTCACCAGCCGTCGTGGTGCCAACTCGCGTTTGATCGGTGAAATAAAATTTGATCGGTTGTATGGCGATGCCCTCGTGCGTTTGATTGCCTGGTGGATGGCAAAAGGTCACTTGTAGTAGCAGTTTCAGCGAGTTGAGTTTTGTGGTAAGCGCCACAGTGAAGTTATATGGCCAATACCAGTCGTACCTATATATTTCAAAGGGTTCTCTTTTCACTTTTTCCTCGATAAATGAAATATTTATGCAATTTTTCCCTTTTTTTGCAAACTTACCGCTTATTTGCGTACCAAACCATAAGTAGGAAGACATAAATGAGAATCACTAAGCTTGCCCCGGAGATTAGCCCAGTTATCCATGATTGACAAATTAGCCCGATCGTCACTCCAATCAACAACGACACGTGCGTTATAACTAGGAACAACAGCGAGGAGAATTGGAATGACGGGTCAAGCCATTGTCGTGCGAAGTTCTTCATTTCCTCTGTGATAATAATACTTTCATAGTAAATACCTCGTGAATGATAAAAAAAGTTTGTACTTCTGGAATTATCAGTCCATCTTACCTCGAAGTTTATTCAATAAAAAGGATTTACCCGAGCCCCATTTCGCATAGAGACCTACGGTTATGGGAGTCGACAACGATGGCTCGCTCAATATATCCGCGAGCGCGCTACTGTAGAGATCGTAACCAAGCATATTTTCGTTATCTTCGTTAGTATTCAATCGACCTAGAGAGAAAACGCAAAAACGGCATAAATGAAAAGCGCAACTGCTGTGTTTGCTCTTCCGTGGTCGAACAACTTACGAGCGCCAAATATCTGTCCTAATATTGCTTTTGGATGATTGATGTCGATGTTGTAAGGAGTCTCGCCTTGCTTGTTGGGCCTGTACAGCAATTGACTGTTCTTTGGATTTCTCAGTAGTATCTCGACAATACCCTTGGATCTGGCGCGCATCGCTATATGTAAAACAGTGTCACCCTTCTTGTCGGAAGCCGAAACTTTGGCTTTTTTGTCTAGCAACATCTGTACCATTTCGGCATTTCTTGATCTCACAGCGCGAAGCAGTGGTGTGTCGCCGTCTTTCGTGGCAATTTCAAGATCTGGATTTGCATTTAGAAGCATCCTCAGGACTGCAACATTACCCTTCTCTACGGCGATGTAAGTCGCTGTTTTCCTATCCTACAATCACCGTTCAGGTATTATTTCGCAAGCTCGATCCATCTGAGACCATTATCTCACCTTGCCCGGAATGTCCACATCGGCGTATTTTTTCAATAAAGACTCAACGACACCTCTGTGTCCACCTTTCACGGCGTGAATTAAGTTCGTATCTCCTGACTTGTCTTGTATATTGATGTATGCACCAGCGTTGAGCATGGCATTGGCAATCTCGTGGAAGCCCTCTCGGCAAGCAATCGATAGAGCTGTGCAGCCGTTCTTGTCCACGGCATTGACATTCGGCTTGTAATCGAGCAGCAACAGCACTACCTCCACGTGATTGCCTAATGTTGCCACTATCAATGGCGTCCACGAGTACTACAAAATGTTTCGTTGTGTATGATTGTAAACGGCATTTATGTAATAAACAGCGTGTCATTACCATTCCTGCAGTGTCGACCGTGGATCCAGCTTTTAGCAATGCGTCCACTATCTCTAAGCTGCCCTTGCGAGCCGCCCATACTATTGCAGTTGTGCCGTACTAAACAAGAGAAAAAAAAATGCGTTCTTGTTGAAATTACTGGATCGTGCAAACGAGAAGAAAATAGGCACGGTCGTGTCATTACCTTGTCGCCGACATTGACCTTAGCGCCGTGAGCAAGTAATTCCTTGACAATGTCAGTATACCCGCGGCCGGCTGCCCACAGCAGTGAGGATATGTGATAGTTGCCGTAAGCATTAACGTCGGCGTTGCGCGCCAACAGCAGCGTCACCGTCGACGTGCGCCCTTTGTACGATGCCCACATAAGTGCCGACCAGCCTCCCTGCAATACACGCATGCATCGAATATGAAGCGCGAATTGACGACATTCACCCGCGGGATTGTTTTCTTTTCTTCCGTGCTCACCGCGTCGCGATGCTCCAAATCGGCGCCGTGTTCCAACAGCTCCAGGCACACGTCGTCGTATCCCTCCTTCGCTGCGAATAACAGTGCCGTCCAATTGTCCTGCGGCAATCGTAAGAGAATCGTCAGGAAAGTTTGACAGACAGTACGATGGCTTTTTGTTCTTTACTTTTTCGTTGCTTCACTTACCACATCTTCAGCATTAACGTCGGCTCCGTAGTTGATGAGCTCTCGGACAAAGTGGATTTTGCCTTTACTCGCTGAAAGAATAAGTGCTGTGCTGCCGTTCTGTCGGAGAACACATATATAGATGTTTGAATTTTATGCGCTGTCGTGATTATTGTAGTGTGCTTTTATTATTCGTGTAAATGATATCAGTCGTTTGACCTTGCATTTAAAATTTTGCGACGTTGACAAATTATTAAATGCCAAGTGATTGAATGTCAAGACTGATTTGAAAGGAAAATACATTGCTACAGATAAAATACTTGGAATTTGCTATCAGATTTATCACTGAATTTTTTTAATAAAAGTATAAATATCGTATTTATAGTTGGCTGAACCCCTTAACTTATAAAAATTTTATATTTGCAGTATGAGTACGAAAACAGAGGCTCATAAAGACGTCGAATCCGGATATTTTTGAGTACTTTCTTCGATTCGTAAGGTCGACAAAAGAAGAAAATCAGACGATATTTGAAAGACCGCGTCGAATAAAAAGAAAAGGCAATTCTAGACTCATGCCATTTGAGCATGAACGCGAGCATAACATTTTTCCTATCTATTCCAAATAGGACAATATATCAGGATATTCTGTAACGGTCACTGGCATATGTGAACAAATTGACATCATAATATGATAACCACAAAGCAAAGCAAGAATCAATGAACACATACCTCATCGCGATCGTCGACCTGGACCCTTTTGTTCTCGAGGAAATTCTGCAAGCCGGCAAGGTTGTCATCGCTGACGTAATTGGCTAGTGTGCGGTAGCAAAGAGATACCATCGAGTCGGTCCGATGCAGAGTCTGTGCGAAAGACGAAAGATACACGTACTGCATTAGGGCATCATCTTGTCAAGCATCATTCCTCCGACTGTTATTCTTCGCCGTTAACGACGCTTTTAAACGCAAAAAAAAATGAGAAACGCGGGGGAAAACACACGTACGCGCAAAGCATGCTTTTGTATCGAGGGATCCGGCCATCCTTCGTTCGTCTTTCTCAAAGCTCGCACGAAAACATTATGTAATGCAAATATCGAAGGCGTGTGTCTGGGCGTGCGTAACACACATTTGGTTGGATAGCAATGACGCATCCACGCGACACCTGGATTAAAACGTTTACTTGAAAGTAAAAAAAAAACAACGCAGTCGACGAGATACACTGCGCAAACTGATAAAGCCGCGTTCTCGCGTATCGAAACTCTGACGCGCACACGTGACGCGCGTCTGAGAAGTCGTCGATATTTACTTTCGCTGCTTGTCGTTTTTTGTAACGCAAGGTATAATTATTAAGCCGTACTATCGGTCTATTAATAGACTGCTCGCGAAAAATAGATTAGGATTCATTCAGGTTCTTCGAGCGATAAGAAAGTGCGCAGGCACACGCGTATACTTTCGTCAGCGAGAGAGTCAAGTGCGCGTTCGCGTTGTTTTTCTCCTGCTCGCGAGGCTTCCATCTACATGCAAAGTAACGGACGGATTGAGGAGAAATTCGCGAAAACGTCAATCTTAGAGAAACGCTAATCTATTGGCTGGACAGTAAATGTTTGAAGAAGTAATTATTGACGATTGACTGTGCAAAAATAATAACCGGCAAAAATGGAGATCGTTATCTTTACTTTCGGTATCTTCTCGATAAAGTTAATTTCATGCTGAAAATGGATCAAGTTTGATGCGTTTCACGAGAAAGTTTAATTCACTATTAGAACGCAATAAATATGGCTTGTTTATCGACGAAACAAATTACGTTTATTGTGGCTCGAAAGTCATTCGAAAAAAAAAATGAAGTCAGTTTATCGCTAAGTTAGTGGAACAAAAAAACGACCTTAAATTATCTTCACATTTAAAGATTCACTAAAATAAACAGCATTTTGTTACGCCAATTAAGAGTTATTACAATTACAAATGAAATTTTTCGTAAAGTTAGTAAACCTAAATATGTATAATAAAAAAAATTTGGTATAAGATTAAGCGCGGTGAATTTAAGAAAATCGTTAGTGTCGTGAATTATAATAATGCACGTCAGCTGTGCTCACAAACATTGTCGAGCGAAGATATTGACAGTACCAAAATCATCAGCAATACTATCGAATAGAAGCTAAATTCTGACGTACATTAATTAACCCACTTTCATTTTTATTGGCTAAGATAATGTTTAATAATTCTAAAATCACCAATAAATCATCCAATAAAACATAGCTTATTGGTTAGTTTTTACTTAAAATTCATGAAAACAAAACGATATGAACAAAACCCGGCAACATCCCATCATCACTCATCGAAAAGCTCGTCACTTTGAAATCACAACGACAACAAAATCACTGCCAACAGTTGTGAAGCTCCAGCGATAAAAAACATCGATCTTGGAAAACGGCCGAAGGAAAATCAAGAAATTAAATCAAAACAAACACTAAGCGAAACGTTGAGGCTGTAGGTAGAGGCAACGGTGTTGAGCCAAGAGATGATAGCAAGCTGCATCTTTCCTATTGATGGTGTGTTAATGCGAGAAGGTGAAGACTTCGACTATACGCCTCAGGTAAGAGAGAGAGAGAGAGAAATGCTTATGGTTGCTGGGTGAGCCTGCAGTAGCAACACAGCACCGCACATCTCTCCCTCACTACTACTGTACAAGCAACTTCGCGAATCGCGGAGGCTCGCGCGAGTGGCGGCTGCTCGTGATATCGCTAAGGAAAAACCGGAATGCGCCGTTGTGTGTATCCTATATATAAGAGCGAGTATATGACTTGTCGTCTTTCTCTCGATAAAGCGAATCCGCAGCTCCACAAGGGTTAAGGACCTATGCCTTTTGTTCTTTGACAAAGTCAATGAAGGGATTTTTTTGTTCGCGAGAGTGGGGCGTCGCGAAAAATTAACTACGATGGAAATATTCGAGTTGCTTTTGTTGGTCAACGATAAATAGGCGCGATTTACGCACGAGATCGTGAGAATTTCTCGGAAAGTGAGATGACAATTTTTTTGTGTTTGATCAAAACACTTTATCTCTTACATCAGAGACGAAGGGAACATTTTTGCCAGACAATGTAGTCTTTAGTTCTTTTTTCTGTGAGAGATAGACGAGGAAGGAAATAAAAAAATTATTGATGTAATGCATTTAGAAATCCATTTATTTGGTTTGTGTGCAGATTATTGATGTTGATATGCAGGAAATTTGTCAATGGATCAGGTGTGTTTGAGGTGGTGAAAAAGAAAATTGAAATGCTTGATGCGCTTGTTGTGACGTGAAAAACTGTAGATAACATCGGGAAAAGCAGAGAAAGTAAGCTCGTAACGTTTTCGATGTGTATTTATAGATTCATGAGATAATGTTCAACAAAAAAGGTATGTTTTCTGTTTTCTGTCTAAACTCTCTCGAAAGTATGCTGCAAAAAAAGCAAGATAACTGATAAGGTAAATATCAATAATTTTTAATAATTTTTAATATATGCGCTCTAGAATTAATTATTCGAGAAACTACTTTTTAATGACCCCAGAGGTTTCTCATATCTCTTTATTTTTAACGTTTCAGATGTCCTACTTGTTTACTTATTGTAAAAATTATTAATTCCAATATAAAAGTAAAAGGCTTGCAAACTTTTTTCTTACGAAGGTTATACAATTTCATTGACATAAAATATGTTTGAATTAGATTATTTGTGTGGAAGAAAAAAATGTAATTGCTAAGCTGAATATTATGCATTCGTATAAGATTTAGGTCAATGAATGAATCAAGTAAATGTTGATAGAAGAAATACAAGTTATTGCACATGGTAACCTAAATTTAGTTCCTGGACACAAAGAGCTTTGTTTTTATGTTTCAATTTTCCCTGTAAGTAATATTGATATGCAAATCATTTGAATTGATAACTCATTTAATGAAAAATGACAAAATAACGCGTAACGTACATCTGTACTCGATATCTTAACATCGATCGAATGATAATTTCAACTTATAAAATCACTTTCTACATAAAGATTACAAATATATATTTTAGTTTTGACTCCATCAAACCAAATCAGCAAAAAAGAATTATCATGCACGAGGAAATAAAAAAAATTTAGGTAAACAAAGTTACATCACGTCCATCAAAATAATAATCAAAGCAGTAGCGTGGGATGTGTGTGATTTGTGCGAGCGAGTCAACGACCGTAACGTCGTGCAACGACTTCGCAACATTGTGTTATTCGGTGACAATGTAAAAGGGGCAAAGGAAGAAAACGATGCAGAAGCGTTGAACGACGCGCACGACACTGCAGCAACACAGCGGGTAAAATAATTTCCCATCCCTCTCCGTTTATATTCCTTTTTCTCCTCTAAACTTTGTTTTTACTCTTTCTCGCTGCATCTCTGTCGAGCGTTTTATGAATACGTGGTAAGTTTCTTATTTTTATCGAGATTTCTCCCTTATTCATTTTTCGTTGAAAAACTAGGTGCTTTAGTTTTATTATTGATCGCAGCGAGCCATTTTTGCACGAATAAAAATGATAATTTTGAAAGGAAATAGAAAAAAGCGTAAGTATCCCGGAGAAAATAGCTATTAATTTTTATAATTAATAAAAAGAAAGAGAAATTTCAGGCATGTTATTATTCAACCGATTCTTACCGAGGTCAAATGAGTTAACAATTAAAAATTTGTATTTGTCCCATCCCATTAGCATGAGCAACAAGAGGACTACTCTCTTTCAGCAAAAAACTTTTAGCAAGGCAAGAACAAACTGCTGGAAACACAGTGCGTAAGACCAACCGTATGCGAGTGCCTCCTAATTCCAAAGCTGAACTTTCGTCCATAACCCGAGCCTATCGAGTCGATTGCTGGGAAATGTAGATGCGGCAACATGAGATGATGATGATGTTTCTTGTTCTCATCTAGAGTCCCATTGCCTATCGCGTCGTGCTGATTGAAACCACGAAAGAATGGCAATCTCGACGACCATCTTCGTCCTTTTGCATCTCTCACTGCCTCCTCCAGTGCTGATGGCTCGGCGAGAGCAACGAACGTTGCACTTCGTCTTAGATTCGAAATAACGAGTTGCGATGCTGCATCGGGGGACGGCGAGAGAAAATTGCTCGGTGCCCCTGGGAAAACACTCGCGATACTTGGTCCGATACTCGAATAGATCGCTGCGTTGGTTATACTCGATCGTCTTGGTGTCGATGGATACGAACTTATGCGGATTTCCGGCATTGTTTGGCGACGTATACTGCCGTTTTCTAACTTTGATAATGTATTGATTTTTTGCCATTCTTCAGCCTTTTGTACAACTATTGGTGATATTAAGTCGTCAGGCGGCATGTAAATCGATGCTTCCGATTGAGGTGTTCGCGAAGGATCGTCGTCGAGTTGAACGGCTTTGAGGTCCTCCTCGTTTTCCTCGGCAATGCCAAAGTTGATTTGAAATCGATGGGACGTGAAAGTAGCTTTCCGCATGGCATTATTTCTAGTAACTTTTTTCAGATATGCAAAAATGACGAGTAAGTGAGAATCGAATGAGGCTTGGGGTAAAAAATGAGATGTTATTTGGCTGTAACCAGGATTCATAATGAAAAACAAGAGGAACATTTTTATAAATAAGATAAGAGATTCCGTGAAGTGCTTTTTGATTGCGTTTGTCATATTTCTTTATTTTTATAAAACTTGAATTCGAAACTGCCTTGTTATGCGATAGAGAAATTGGTAAAAATATAGGCATTTTGTCAATTATAATATTGAATAAAATTCTTCTATCATACGTGAAATCTAAAAAAATACTCATTTTTATAAATAAATTCTAATGGCTCTTTTGCAAAGCTGTTAGCTAACCATCTTTCAGATTTTGCGCAACAATCAATCGTCAATTGAAACGTATTTAGAAAGATAAGAATTGTGACTTCAAATTCACGAACATACAACTTTACAAGGTTATGACGTCGAAGCACAATTTAATTAATATTAATAGATGATTCAGCGCTCGCTTGATCGTATCAAGTGAAATTTAATCGTTTTGAATAGACCACATGCATATCCTCTAACATACTAGTACAAAAAGTATCCAAATTTTCAACAATTTTAAAGTTACTTTGATGATTTGAATAAAAATAAATTATTAAGAGGGGTTCAAAAGAAACATGAAAATAAGAGATTATAGTTACAAACGGTTGTTAACTAAATTTTATATTTGAAAGATTGTTTAGACAAAAAATTAAAATATCTTTCTTATATTGTGGTTAATATAATATAGCAACAATTTAATTCATAAATAAGAGCCTTGCACGCAATAATTTTTTGTTTTATCTCTTTCTGTTTATTATTTAACAGTTTTTATTTATAGAAATTTTTTCTGAAAAAAAGTAAGCTAAACCGACGAGAAAAACGGTTTTGCTTAGTAAGATCTTTGCTGTTGAGTCTGATAATATGAAAAATGACAGTGGATTTACATTGATATCGGAGTCGATGGACGATAACACTGATAATAGGTTTTAATCGACACCACGTGTACATTTTCAATGAAAAGAAAATCCGAAATGCGATAGGATAAAACTGTCATTAGAAAATGAAACGAGAAAGTCATACCATACGTGAAATAGCGGTGAGTTTCAACATTCTCTCGAGGTTTCGTGATGTCATTTTATCAGAAAATATTGACGCCTTGAAAAACACACGCACCCAGATCTTATTTTAACGAACAATTCATTACTACTTTTCTCTACATATTTTAATTTCGAAATGCTGCCGTCGCGCAGCAATGAACGATATGGGCCGCGCGCGCCCGCGCGCGACATATAAAATATTACGACCGTTCGTCAGCAATCGCACAGAACAACTGATGATACACTAAAGAAGTCGAGGGACTCTTGGTTCGTTCGTGATACATATGTCGTCTTCCTGGGAATAGCGCGTTTAATGTGCTTTATTAATGTGTACACCAGACAACACGATTGTAAAATATAACATCTTAATGTGCGATGTTTGAACACACTCTGCGTGTGTTTTAAACTTCTCTTCTATACTTTTGTTTAACGACGCGATTATCCTTCTGCTAAGCACACTTACCTCGCTAGTCGCCGCGGGATTGTGATTACAGAGGTGATAGCTTACTGCTTTGTTCTTCTTTCGTGTGCATGTACCTGGCCATTTTTTACGGCGCGCATTTTAAAGTTCTTGAACTCATTGCTGATTCAATGCTCATTTTACGACGATTTATGCGACTAAATTTGCTGTTACTTTTTTGGCTTTATCGCGCGTGGCTGTCTTGTGTATTGGCTCATAAAAACGGTGTGTAATATTGATCGAGTAATCAAAGTACAACTTTGAACTGGGTAAAGGTGATAAACCACAAATGTGCACTTTATTGGTCGATTAAAAAATAGGACAAATAATCGCATTCTATAAATTTCGAACAGATATTAACTGTATTAAACATGATGTAATCGTGTAAACAGTTATTGTGTAATCATATCGTGATTATATTGATCGGAGCATCATTGTCATCTCTTTGTCCAGGCGAGAATTAATAAGAAAATTTTTCCACTTGTCAAACGAGGCTATATACACGCGTGTATGTGAAAGGAAAAAGGAGGAGGCAGTTTTACCACTTAAGCCAATTGAATTGCTGAGCAAACTAATGTAAAGAACGGCTTCTTGCGCGCCTTCGACTTGTTTTATCCGCACGGTATTAAATCATCGGGAGTCGGCAGAGCAGTAGCAGACTCATCCGCGTAAGACGTCATTTGGTATTATTGCTTGCACATGGCAAATGACCGCTGCGTTTATACGCCATTCGGTTTAACAAAGAAATATACTGTAGCATCGTGTGGCTACGTTTATAAAGTGCTTTGTGCGTGATCAAGATAAAGGAGAGATTAGCACGTTGTCGCAGGCCAAAAACTCATATCGATGGTGAATCTCTATTCAAAAATTAACCAGCAGGTCGTACATGCATTTAAATATACTTATTAACGAATAAGAGAATAATAAAAAAAATTCAATTGCATTACGCGTAAAAACTTAAAGAGATCGGACACTCAAACCATTTTATTCTACTTCCACCGATCGTCGCAAAAAATCATGAGTGATAATCGAGATTAATAATTCGAGTTGCATCAACTGTTCAGAACGTTACATAAATCAATTTATTATTACCGATGAAATATAAATACCTTCGACCATTATTTATAAAACGTTTGATGAATCGCCCAATAAACAATAACCGCAACAGAACTTGAAACATTGAATCACATTTAAGATATCCTAAATCTATAAATATAATTTATTCTACGATAATTTTACGATAAATTATATCTTATTTTTTATGAACAAGTTTATGCCAATCGGAACTTATGTCATACCATGAAAATCTATCAGTCAATTATTTCATTGTTAATATTTACGCAATTCACTTTAGGATCAAACGAATTAAACGCACCGAGCAGATTTTACTGTATGTAACTAATAAAGAAAGTTTATGCCAGTAAGGAATCAAAGATATTGACTAACAGTGGGGAGTTTATCTCGTAGAGCTGCGCCGTGTTTCAGTAAGCTTGGATATGATAACGTTCAATCATAACATGATATGAGAAAAGTATTCAAGATGCTGTGGGAGAGAATGGAGTAATACTATAATGTGAAAATTATATATCATTATTATACGTTCACGCGGTTATTTTTATAATTTTGTTTCATTCCACCAAACAGATTGTTTTTAGAATGATAAGCTTATAGAAGTAACCTTTTCTTCAAAATACTTTAGAGATATTTCTGTGTATATTTTACATAAATTTTTAGTAAAATAGGGACTTTTCCCTAAATAAGATTTTTGATAAATATTTTAATGGGCGACAAAGCGACCTCAACAATGAATATTTTTCATTTTTATTACGAGGCATACCTGTCTGCTCCGATTCCATAATGACTTTACAGCCTGTTGGCAGTTGTCCAATAGAGAGCCATAAGATTTTGGTATACTAGTTGTGAGTGAATAGGATGATGCACTCAAATTTATTATCGATGGACTCAATAGCCCAGTCTTCTCATTTGGCCTCACTGCCATGTGGCTTTTTAATGTCAAGATGACTTTTTATAATTTTTCACTATTTTTTTCTTAGTTCTTATAATTTTTCTTATCGTTATCATTTTTTCTTATTTTTGCATTATAACAACAAATCGAAGCAAAAATTCACAATATATGTAACTCAACGTTTTTTGTTTGCTTATCTAAAAGAAAAATTCATTTCGTTAAGTTCTCAAAAAAAATTAAGAATTTACTCTTTCAATTTGGTATCATGTTTGTGCAGAAACAAATCAATTACTTCGTAAACTCTTCATAGCCTCCGCATTTTTGTATTCTACGTGCGATAAAAAAATTTCCTTTAAATGCTGCGTCATATATCAATATTGTAACATTTATTGAAAGCATTTATACTGATAGACGATACTAAAACTTTCCACGACGTTTGTCAACGTATTGTGATCATAGTTTGGACAATTGTCAACCACGGTGGGATAAATTTAATTTTCACTATACTGTCAAGAAAAGTATTAGAATACTATCGTTCTCATCAGCAGATGCTTCGAATATTTTTACATTTCCAAACTTTGTAACAGAGCATAAATCAAATTTCAAACAAGAAAACAACTTTACAAAACGACTGGAATGAGTCACAAACGAATAAATTGATTTATCATTCTGCAAACAACATTGATAACAATATGTAATGTAAAAGTGCACACGTTGTTCAACAAATGAAGTTGCGCCACTCAGATTCGCAAAAATTAAATTCTCGTGAGATTGCACAACAGAAAAATAAGTTTCCGAGAGTGCTAGAAAAATTTCACATGAGCTATGAACTCCGTGAAGCGAGCGATGCACTCACAAACTGTTGCAACAAAACTCGATTGAATCGGTCGGCGCGTGCAATGCAGCACGCCGTGCGCGAACTGAGAAAAATTGGAAGAAGCCGCAAGGAAAGACGAGAGCGAGGCGTCAACTGCCGTCCAATGAAGAACTTTCAAACGCCACGACCCAGATATAATCAATCGATTAGCCACTATATTTTTTTCTTCATTACCGTCAGTATTTCATATATATATATATATATATATATATATATATATATATATATATATATATATATATATATATATATATATCTTATCACCGGACGTGCGCAGGTATACAAGAAATGATAAGTCGCGATTTTCGAGATCGCCTTGGATGTATTTCATTGCGGCTCAACTGTACCTCACTGCGGCTATAGGTAAGATAAGGATGTGGAAAGTTCTAACTTTAGACCTGATTGATTTGTTTTCACAGGTATATGTTCAATAGTGGGATCGGTAGATTCGATCATGTCATATTTAAAAAGGAGAAGATTCTGTATTTTACTTGCATTTTATTTAAATTTACGTATATTTGCGTATATCTTTGGAGCGGTTCAACCGATGTCAATAAGGATG